TTGTGAAGAACCTATCACAATACGGTATGGGGATGAAAATCTTGTAGTGTAGTCATAGAATTCGAGTTTAGGGCAGCTGCATCATTCGAAAGTTTAACACGAAGCTACTTGAAGGCACCTCAAATAGGGGCAGTTATGGACGAAATATTTGATCGTAGTGAGTAGTCAGGGCATAAATGATATAAGGGAATTCCGTTGAAATGGAGGTTCAAATTCACACCTTAGCAATCGAAAGAATAACTCACTGCATGATCATAAATACGTCTACACGTCGAGGGCTCTGCCTGAACAAATCTCAACGTCTGCTTTAGATGTATTAATGTCGAATAACGACTAAAATTCATATTTTCGTGCGAAACTGTCCCGAACGGGCTCCGATTGGTGCACTGACTTGCGATCACCCTACCGGAATTGCGTTGCGCTACTCGAGTCTGCCCAAGCAAAATCAATAATGAATTTGACCATCACACAAGTCAAGGTCTGTCCGGGTCCAAATACATGTCTCCCTCTTCCTCCAACACCTTTAACGCGGAATTTTTAACATAAGCGATCCTGCCCACCGTCAGCTAGGTAGGCTAAGATGCACATTGAGGTTTGCCCTGAAACAGTGCATGCATTGTCGTGGTCTTTAGCCAAGTTTCGCCCTCGAAATAATAAAGAACCACTGAGATTTGATTTGGAGTAGCAAATTTCCGGAGTGGTTGCAAGATATGTCTCTACATTATTTTCTCGAATTATCATTCCGGAAACCCTTTCTCCATAGGCTACACGGAATGTCCAAGTAGTATTCTCGATTTGTAGTAAGATGTCCACAGATAACTTTATGATTACAGCCTCAAAGCCTCAACGACTTCAACGACTGACGGCCTGAATCTGTCATTTGCCTCGTGCAGTTGGGTAAGATCGGGAAGTTGGTCACAGTCGCCAATGGTATGGGCAACTCAAGTGACTTTAAGCTAAGACTGCTATAATTAAACAATTCTTTTTAAATAGATGGATGAATTGGAGTGAAGGCACTATTACATCGGTGAAATATAACATCAAAGGCAATGATCGGATTGGATTTGCATGCACAGTGAGTCAACACATGTGGATTGCTGAACAATAGACGGTTAAATCCGAACGTCTAGATAATTTTGAAGAGCATTTCGACAGCATGGGCCAACGCCTGATCCGAGACGATATTCGTTTGCGTTCTTTTCAGCGCATCCGAGAGTGCCACCATTAGGAGATGAGAACACTTAAGGTAAGAAATAGGAACCCTTCAACAGAGACTAAAAGAAAAATAAATGCAACCACGCTCCTAAATAATCGAGAACATAGACGGTGACCAATGGTTAATACACAGTGGCGATCAATTCTCCCCATGGAATCAGTCCACGCTAATGCCACACCAGCACAGCCCCTAACTGGCAACATCAAACCCGATCAAATAGTACAATGACGTCAACGGCATATGTAATGAACACTGTAAATGATTTCAACTTCGTCATCTGGAGATGTATACCTAATTCGACCAAGTGACCTACGAATGCACTACTGTAGAGGACGATGCAATATTAATGTTTATTACAGGTCTAAATATAGAACGCGGATGTGTTATTGACCATTGGCATACTTAAATAATGGCAAAAGTCAAAAGCAGGGTTTGGTACTTGTCTTTCAAGATCTAATATTAATCTACATACTGAATGATTGATATTGATGTTATCTTAGCTCACATGATCTGTAAGCTCGGGTGATCTTGTGAACATTTGATAAGGCTATTCTCGCTAGATTGCTTAATGCGATAAGAAAAAAAACGAACCCATAGACGCCCGAGTGGGGATGCTTCGAAGACTGTTCCCTGCATGCACGCACAAAAGTGTGCACTTTTGCTGCAATATACCCTATTGCCTTTCTTATTCACCTACAGTGATCTGGTTTTGAAAAGATCCTCAAAACGTACCTGGTAGATAGATCTTCCGCTAGGTGCCGTGTCTCTGATTACAGTCTGTTCTTCTAACAAATTAAGTGCCTCAAAAGTGGTTTTCCCGAAAATAGCGTGAATTCTGAACAGGGTGTCCACGCCGAATGCACAACTAACCTTAGCAAATCCTCGTCTGTGACTGAAAACAGTTAAGTAAATGGCGGTGACTCACGACTGTCGCCCCTGATCTCACCAAGGAGATTACTGGACACAATATCCGGGACAGGCACAAAGGACATTCGTATCGCTCTAAAGGAGGAATAACAAAGCACGTTCACAGTTCGAAATCAGAACCCTGCCTGGGGTTGCAAATAGGATTCCAATGAACTGCCATGTCATAACCACTTAGACTGAAGAGTGTAAAACCCTATTTTAATGCCCTGCAAGTGTTCAGATGCAAATACAACTAATAAATGCATTTAGCACCTTAACCCGCAGCTCAGTGCACAAGTTCTTATGAATTAAATTAAAGGAATTACATGAGTGCCGATCTCAAGATAAATGACTTTCCTGAGAAATGAAGCCATTGGTAGGTAACATCCCCCCCCGTATCGGTACACAGACTAAAACAGTACGGTCACGGCGTTCACCATATTGGTTCAGCCTAGCGATACATGAAATCCATCATATGCAAATTTTTGAACCCATTTAAGTTTAGTTAGCACAATGGATTCAATGTAAATCACTAATGTTAAATGCTGCAAAAAAGAAGCTCTTGGGTTCTTTGAATCCAACAGGTACAGTGAGGTGATTTAGAAGAAGAAATGTAGTAGGCAACGTGTTCCAAATATCAAAGTATTCACGAGCATATAGATAACAGAAGTGCGAAATTAGGAGTTTCCAGGTACAACTTTAACGGCATGGAAAGCGTAGTTTATGGACTGTGATTCTGTCCAACTCCATTCATTCGATAAGGGACAGTAGGTCATCCCGAGCACTTTTCTAGGCTGGAGGTTGTCTAGAAACAAGAGATGCATAATAAATTGGATTAAATAGCTTCTCTACCACGTAATTCTAAAAACATTCCCGGCTTCAAAAAATTTCGCTGCGATCAGAGAATGTAAGACGAAAATTTATCGGTTATACCTGAGCCCGACACGCAACTTCTCTTGAAAACAACCTAGCTTTGTGGTAAAGCATAAAGTGTCATCCTGTTAATTTACATAGACAAGCAATTTATGAGCTTCACTAAACTGAGTCAAGAATCTTGTACACGCTTTTAAGACCAGACGGTTCGAGAGCATAAATTCACCAAACACGTATGCTTCTAGTGGAAATAAGGTTTTTTGCACATAATCGTCTATAAGTTTAAAACACGTAAGACAGCCAAGTTGGCGCAGAGGATGCAAATTTTGTCAGACATTCGATTAGATCCATAATCCCAAGGGATAAAGAAATTCCCAGGAAAGCTGAGCGAGAGCTGAAGCTGTCTAGGATGTCAAATATGAAAGAAATGTTCAAAAATATGGACTGAAGATTTTCATTTGCGGTAATACTAAGACGTACGTCCTTATGTATGGATAAATATCTTTTACTTGACATAGAACGCTGTAAAAGTTGCGGTGAGGAGGAAAACACTAGTTGTTAAAAGTTGTCAATCATTCCGCGTGCCTCAATCCACATAACATGTAGTGAATTCTTCATCGTATAAACCTTAAATTGCACCAAAATAAACAGCTTACTTCTGATTGCAACAAGACTCAATTCTGAAGGCTCAACGAATTTGCTCCAAGTGTGCATCCCCTTAGGCGTTATTTTAATGATGTTTTCTGCAATTATGATGCCCAACCAATAGGACGGCAGCGTTCTGTTTATCGTAGTTACAATAAAGTGGCCTCCAGGCTAAAATAACAGGAATGGACCAAAAAATACGTAAGAACAAAAAGTGGTACCAGTTGTCTTTTGACAGAGGAGAATTATTACTGTAGGTGCTAATGAAGAAAGCAGTTGTTCACATAAAAGACACTTTCACAGTAAAATTTCCGATTTTTAGATGCCTAACAAATTTCGTTAACAACCGATTGGGAAAATCATCAAAGGTAACACAAATTCATAAGAGATTTACCTTCAAACAACTAGAAGCATCGCTAACAAGTTGTTTCCAGTCGGAGACGTGTTCCAAAACTTCGGAGGCGACGACAGCATCAAATCCTTCAGAAAATTGAGCAGCGGCTTCCAACGTGCTCATTTTTCGATATTCCGGTGCACCAAAGGGTGCTTCCTTCCATTGGTCAGGGTTTACTTTAATCAGATGGTCTTTTGCAGCATCTATGGCCTCCGGCAGCGTATCTATGCCTAGCACCTCCGCTCCAAGGCGAGCGAGTGGCTGTGAGAAGAATTGCATGATAGAAAACAACCTTTAGGCACGAATGGATTTAAGCCGGCAAAAACACTTGATTGTAAAGTGGATGTAAATAACCCTATGCACTGAAAAGCACCACACCGCAAAATAGACCAAAAAGAGCAGTAAATAGACATAAAATGGATTTCATTCGAAGAAGTGGTGGACAAAACTGATTTTCACCTCTGATAAAATACCACCGCCACAACCAATATCCATAATTTGACGCCCGTAGAGTGGATACCAAGGCTTGGGAGATTCATCCTTGAACAAATAATTAATCATTCCTAACCGAATGGGATTCATTGCATGCAGAGCCCGAAAATCACCTTAGGTAAAGAGTATCCACAGCTTTGTAAAATCCTTTCATCGAGATTTGATAGAAGGGACTAAACTGCACTTACCGCCTCTATCCCACCACCTGTCAGAACGGGAAGTGAAACTTGGAACCTCAGAACTATCCATCTTAGCAAGCATTTTCGAAAATGTGCGAAATATCTTTGAAAGGCTATATTTTCTACATGGGGAGATAAATGTAAACAAAACAAGTTACCGACTGATAATCCTAGAACGAATATTGTGCAGCATATTCGATCGAAGAGTTAACACTGGACTAAAGGGGAAAAATGAAAGTAAGAAAAGGCGAACTCGGTCTCTGCTGTGTCAATTCCAAATTCCCAATTGATTGGACTTTTTAAGATGTAGATAAAACGTTATGTATAAACCTGCAGATGTTGATAACGAAACCCAAACTCACGGAGAAGTCGTTTAGAAGGGGACCAGAGTACCTGTACAGAAATCGATGGCTTCGTAAGTTGGTGGTTATCGACATTTAGACCGAATTAATACAAAACCCTTAAAAGAGATTGGCATAAAATTCATAGAAAACCCAAGCTAATGTATGTGCGGTACGAATACGAAAAGGAAATACTGACAAGACCAAACTTGTAACTGAATGAGGAGAAGTGCATTAGCAAGTCTATGTTAGATTTGTTTAGGCGATAAGTATTGTAGCAAAATAAATTGCCCATTGGGCAATGGAAGCACAAAACGGTACAAATAGTAATACGTGCGTCTACGATACATGTACGAAACGAAGGCCACCCCACATAACAAGGTGAGCACTGATTGGCCAATTGATAGTATTAGCTATTAGTTGCTTGGTGCTTCTTGAAAATCCCCTGACCACGCAGAATAGGAGCATTTTATTTATTGGGCCTTAAAAGCACAGACACAATTTAGTCTGGCAAGTGGATTTCTACGCCAGAATTGATGACTTGAATGTATTACCTCACCGAAGCTATAATGATGTCAAGGTCATCAGTGTGGAATCTAACACCGCATCGGTCTCGCAAATGTTTCGTCGTGTGTTTTCAACGGTTATACCTGAGCATGCCAGGAAAGTCATGCATAAAGGGCTTCCAAAGAAGCTAGCAATTACGGGAGTAGACAACATAGTTATGGTTTCGTCTGCAAAGGGTGGAGTGGGTTTGTGGCTTCTTTTATTGTTCATTTAGACTAAGGAAAATCAACTATTGCAGTTAACTTGGCTATTGCACTGAGTAGACTAAAAGCTCCAAACCAAGTCGGTCTTTTGGATTCTGATGTTTTCGGACCCTCTGTACCCGATTTAATGGGAGTAAATGATATACAGCCCAATACAAACGACCGGAAACAAATTATTCCCATTCAAAACTACGGGATCAAATGCATGTCCATCGGATCTCTTATTAAAAAGGATTCTGCTGTTGTATGGCGAGGATTGATGGTTATGCAGGCGGTGCAAACTTTGCTTCGTCAAGTACTCCTAAACTTGTTTTATGACCCTTACTAATAGGTGGCATGGGGTCCCCTGAACACGCTTGTAGTAGACACTCCACCAGGCACTGGGGATGTTCACCTTTCTCTAATTCAGAATGTACCCATTCGAGGTTCTGTCGTTGTTACTACTTCCCATCCATTATCGCTGTCAGATACCCGGCGCGGTATCGAAATGCTGTTGAAACTCAATGTAATTCCTTAACTGCCCAATTATTTTATTTCGGGTTGTTTTGTGATTTTTTATTATTTATTTAAATTCATTCAGGTTCCCCTCCTTGGTGTAGTTGAAAATATGGCGAAGTTCGTGTGTCCCAGTTGCAAGTTCACCACTCCTCTTTGGTGTGCTTCAGATTCAACGGAAGAAAGCGGAGCAGCCAAGTTGGCTGATCAATATGAGATACCGCTATTTTGCCAGATCCCCTTCGAGCCCAATGTATCGGACGGGAAGGAAAAGGGCATACCAGTCGTTATTTCTCACCCGAACTCATTTACGGCGACAACCTTTGTGGAACTTGCCTGCCAAATTAACAATTTGCTTTAGCCTATCCCTCCACTTAAAGATTATCAGACGATGGGTGCCTAAAAAATCAGGTTAATTAGTTGTAATTATAACTCCTATATAGTAATTGATAGTTGTTTTGGCATCATTTATATTTTTTGACCAATTAATTTGGTTGATTCCTAGGAGAAACCGTGCTCTATAGTACGGTGATCGAAGGGCGCGGTAGGATGCCGATAAGTTCTCGTCGTCCATAACCGCGTTATTTACGCAGCAATTTTTGTTGCACCCGCACATTCTCTATAAATGCGGGGCTTGCTTCTCTCCCGTCGGTTAACCAATTGATTTTGAGTTTACAGATTTTGGCGTTTGCGACAGTGTATCTATGAATGTGTAGGCCGTTGATTCGGGGTTGACTGTGCTCAGAGGCGTCCTTTGGGAGTAAACAGTGGGATTCCATGCGGGATTCTCAATGCAGTTTCCGTACGAATATCGTGTTTGCTGCCTCGGCAGCTGTCGAATATAACTCCAGAGCTAAAGAATATGTGGTCTCTGGTAACGTGCTATTGATTCCAAATAGCACTATTCTCATCCTCACTTGTAACCTTGCTGAGGACCATTGTCCTTTCAAAGAATCGGGGGGCCTTCATCCACTCATGGACGATGGCCAGAGATGCCTATATTTTCTCACTAATGACAAAACAAGTTTCTTAAAGATCAGGAGATACGTACAGCGAATCACTATGATTATGAGTTGCTTAGTTTGGTCCGCTATTGTGGCACAGACATCCATATTGTTCGTGTTTCGGTTGACGTAATCTTTACTGTCTCTAAGGTAGTGTTTGGAGAATGTTGAACAGTATAAATTAAATGGTATAATCACAAAAAAGACAAGGGTATCAAGACGTTCGTAAAACAAAATAGTGTAGTCAGATCCAATACAATGTGAAATTCTCAGTCGCACTACTTTTGTAATAAATCGGCTGTATGTGATATGGGCTAACCGGAATTTTTTCAACAGAAGCAATATTATCCGACAAAGAATGGGAACGGTAATCGAACTGCGACAATATAATTAGTTCCTAAGATCTCAATGATCCACATCAAAGTGGAGTACATACTACTAGCATGTAGGAGGGCTGAGATGCTCCTGGGCCAATCACATTGCTACCAGTAGATGCAAACACGACTGGAGTATTAATTCGCCAAATATTGTTCATCCTCTATGCTATCCTTGGCCACTCTTTTGATTTGGAAACCACCCACAAGCCTGAAATGTTAATAATTATATTTTTTGTTGAGGATGGAAGGTGTTTAGCCTCAATGCCATTGGTGCATCTCCCACATCCAAAGGCTCACCCTCTTTGAGAGCTGGATTGAGGCAGACAAACTTACTGACATAACACTCTCTAAGATGGATGACAAATCAAATGCAAATGCCAATAGCTGATCGCAGTAATATTAACTCAAATGAAGGAATATTTAATGACTGCATAATTAAATGCAGCTTCTGTACTAGTCCCAACTTGCCACTTTGTTCTCACTCCGGTATTGTTCAGCCGCCTACCTGGGTTCCATTCAGCTACTGTGGACGTAGAGGAGGTACAATTTTCTCACGTAATTCACACGTTGGCGTATGACAATGTTTTCAATTCGTTTAGGCTTTGCTTGAACTATTAATGGCTGGCTTGATAAATATGGAATTAGATTTATTCTCTAAAAGTTGACTTGACTGAAACTATTATTTTGCATTAGATTGCCTCAAATTTCATCATCTGTAGATGCTGCCTTTCAATTGTGAAGGTAATGTTTGCTAAATAGTCAAAGAAACCCGGACATTTATCATTTAGGACCAGGTTCGCTTGCCTCTGTTCTCAGTAGAACACCTCAAGCCATCTCCGAAAACGTAATATGACACAGAATACGGGAAGGTACGAGTTGCACCCAGGAAAACCCAACGTCAATAATGCAGTACGAAGAGCAAAGGTTTAAGTGACCATGTACTTATGTGTAGCGTCCCGAGACTCCCTGAAGACGAAAGAAGACGAAATACTCGGGCAGAATATATATATTCAGCACGGAGAAGGTGTCTGGGCTATTGGCATGGCCCAAAAGGCCAGCCCACCCAGCGAGGTACAAGGGGGCTAATTCGAAGTACAAAAGTGGCGCCTCACCAGAACCGAGGGATAAACCACTATCGTATTACATATGCGTACAATTAGGAGACGAGGAATTATATAACAGATTTTTTAGGCAAATATAAATTTTGTGAAAATCACTGGTTTTCAAAACTGCTCTCGATTAACTGCGACATTTGGCGTAAGATATCTTACATGTCAAATTCGATCTTCGGGTACCTTGCAGTGCAGAAAACATAACAAACCCAGTAAAATTAATATTACTCTTTGTCGCAATCTCAATACTTTGCCAAGCGTCAAAATCACTGCTGAATAATTTCCGTTTCGGTGTAGTTTATATTAACCGTTTACATGTCCGAAGGCCGTCTCCAATACTTTCAGATGCGGCCAACTGTTTGGACATCTATCGATTCCATAGCAGTCCTCATTCTAAGTTGCTTTTATCAATACGAAATAAGTATTTATGAATTCAAGCTGTGCATAATTCACGCGCCCTCTCATTAACATTCTGGGTCCTAGTAGGGCCCGCAGTTTTAGTAACGATGCAAAAAATTTGCACGATTTTTTTTTGTTGTGGTTTTCAGATTCGTTGCAGGATTTTGGAAGCTATATTGATATATTAACACAAATTTTTATATAAGATTGTCTGAGGTATTATGTGGCGAATGCTTAAAAGGCAATTACGCTAAGAATGATCCTAACTTGCTCCTCTTAATCAATTTAATGTAAACAACTCATGATGTTTCATCTTATTAGGTTATCTACTTTAATGGATGGACTAAGGTTTGTTCTCCTCTATTGGGGTTAAATAATATAGACTCTTGTTAAACGAGGGTGAAGCACAAGAAGCGTTTTTCAGTAACATAGAAATAGAGGTGACGCGTAACTGTGAAGAAAAAACTAGGGAAATATTAGCTGCCGAAGAAACGCTATCCTACGCGGTATTCAAGTGCGTTGAGGAACTTAGTCTCCTCATAAATGTATGTTGTAATGCCTTAGTAAATTAGAAATACCTAGTGTAATTTAGCTTTATCGGAAGTGTTGGAGAGTATGCCTGATAACGCTGAAGAACTTACTACACAGATTGGTGCAGAAGTTGCTGATGACTCTTTTTGGACTGAAAAACGGTACTCAGAGTGTGTCTGTCAAATCTAAAATTGAAATTAATAACAATGGGTACCTTTAACACTAAGTAGTAGTGTTTTACATATCCTGATCACGCGGCTTGCCATTCCCTCAAGCGACTATGATTCAACAAGCAAATTGAAAATCGAAGGGAAAATAAACGGCAGGAATAATATTTCAGGATGTTTAATGGTCCCAGATAAATTTGTTCTTGATATTTTGGATTTGAACACGTGAGTTACTCGTGGAATATTTGCTGAGGAGGATATAACATGAAATTTAATGGATATTTATTCCCCAAGTTCCCGTTATACGGACATCTCCATAGCAAACGGGTTTTCTGAAAGAGACGCACACTTATATACTTGTAGTAAGTCATTAGTACTTCCATAATTAACTCGGTGTCTAATAAAAGTATGCCTTTACCTCAGTCCTGAAATTTGAAGCACTTTATTCATCGAATGACTCCTTTTGACAGCCTAAAGTCAGTTCTTTAAGTTCTTCATTGTTTTCTAATTTTTCGATCACTTATTCTACTCTCCAACATAACTAAATAAACACTTTTAGGGGATTATTTGCTGCAACCAACTTTGCTTGATTCGGATTTGAAGGGATCTGACCTCAAATATTGTGCAATCCCTTGCAAAGCAAGTCGACGCAAAAGACCTCATCCCATTGGTTTAGAAAATGTAAGTTTACTTTTAGCTGGCAGTGATATTTATTGCCTTTACCGAGAGTCTGCTTAGGTAATAACATCGGATTTGTCGTGAATCTGAATCAAGTAAATTCCGTTTTGAACATCGTGGGTTGTTGCACTTAGTTTAAGCTATTATTGAATCGCTATCTAGAAGTTTTCGATCATTAAAACTGTGCCAGGTGCCAAAAATAAAGTTTCACTTGTTTAGAATCGTTTAAAACTCCTTGAATGAATACATTGGCCCTCGCACATAATTCACTATCACTTAAATACCAATCCTTATTAAATCGTCTTCCAGCGCTTATCATTTTCCCATAAATTTTTCCGTATAATTCACACCGCGCGTATTTCCTCCTTTTTTATGAATTAATTAAAATACGACTAAAGAAACGGCTGCGTGCCATTCTGCTTAACGCTACCTTTGCCCATTTTCTATGGTGGTAATTCGATGTTGCATAAAACATGCTTGTCGCCAAGTTCGTACGGAGGAATGGAACAGCAAGAAATATGCATGAAGATTTGGGTAAAGGTTGTCATGTTAAAAAACATACATGTACTTTCAAAAGTCGTTGTCTTTTTGCACTGACTCAAAACTAGTTTGGCATTTTTTTTAGCCTTCTTGGGCAAGTCGACTAAATAGAGGAGTGAGGTTTGATGACAAAGGCAGAGTAGTGGCTATCGACGATGTAATCCGTCCACGGCAAAGGATGAATGACGCGATTAAAGTCGCGTGGAATATACAAACGAATAAACTGAGGATGAAATACAGCTAGTTGTTGGCACCTCATCTATGATTTAATATGCAAGGACTGCTGGGGATATGGTTACGATCAGTGGATAGATACCGGTCAAATATAGTTAAAAAATGGGGATTTCATTCAAATCTAGAGGTCCCTCTAGGTTTGCTACCACGAAATATATAAATGACCATTTCTTAGAAAACGACTTGCTGTAAATCTAGTCATTGGATTTAAATAACGTGAGCGCATATCTTTGATCAAAAGTACTGATGTACATACTCTATTGATGTGCTTTTTAGCCCAGTACTCTTACATTAGAAAATAATATTAATCATGTTATTCGGAGTGCTTCCACGACCCATTTCGGTCGAAGGGATTGAAGGGGAGAAATGCGGACTTGAGTTCCAAATGCAAGGCGAATGCAGTGCTCAAGTAACTCCATTCCATTACATGATGGCCAAATTTATGACCACGAGAAATGTAGAGGGAACTTTGATGCATGTTGTCATATACCGAGGCGTAATAACTACCCGGTGATGCCTTGGACATAGAGGACACACTAGTGTTCCCTGGAAAACACCAACCGGATAGAAATTACTCCTAGATTTGACATTTTGACTATTACTCATCGCCAAAACTCGAAACATGGGATAGACTGAGGCAGCGCCCCACATAGCACGAACTGATGGCAGATGGTTTGGCTTGTATTTTAAATAGAAAGGTGCCCACCCGTTAACCTCACCAAACTCATCATTGGTTGGGGCAATGGTTTTACGTTCATTGGACTGATGAACGTGCCCTCGTGAGGTGATCGACCTCAGGATACGCTGAGGTCGTCCAAGTGCACACAAGCCCTCGCGCTTGTCCTGAGGATGTCCTCTCGAGGTAAGTCACTTTTCCCCGTATGAACAAGCGCTTACCTAATGCTGAATGCGTGTTAAATTTCCAGAGGTTGCAGAGCAGCACTAATTCAGAAAACATTCATTACTCATGGATACATCGGGTAAAATTATTAAAAATAATTCTGGAATGTTTGGTTGTTTGAGTGATTCTAGGTCAATCATGACATAATTGCTCAGACTACTAACAGATGTAAAAAAATTACTTTAGCAATTTGAGGCCAAAATCAGCTGAGCTTGAGCACATGCGAGTTTTTATCTTTTAGCTTTGTTTAAATCCTACTTGCACCTATTTTTTATTAGTAATTCTAGACTAGGACGATTCCCAATAATTATGTCATGTCAGGGCTCGATAGATTCGCACAAATATCATCCAAACTGGAAAAATACGCACTTTTATCTTCTAGCAGTTTGGGAGCATCAATTCGCTACGTGCAATAGTAAAGGACAGCGCTTCAAACGACGGAAAGTGAGGCCAATTTGGCCTTATTAAGAACGCTTTCTCCAATAGACGCATTCACAGGTTACAGAATCACCATAGACTTGTTCTTATCAGCGGGCAAATTAACCATAAAACAAATCCTGGGTGACAGCAGGCGTAAGCACAGCGTTAGCACTGATAGCGGGTTCAGAGAAGGAAGTCACAGCTATTGAGAGAAAATATGCTGCAACTTTTATGTCGGATTTTCACAAATTGTACCTTTAAGGAATGCACCAAATGTACAAGTAGGTGTCTGACTTTGAAGTGTTTCTTGTTTTAATCACAAGGCAATCTTCGAAATATAAACAGTGGGGAGAATTATAATACTAGAGTGATTTGTTGCTTCATTTAAGTGTGAGTAACTACAAAGGGTGTACCTCCGCTTGGTTGCATGTTCCCTCGGTCATGCCACTCTGTAAGTTAATTGCAGCACTGGAGCGAAGTAAAATTATGTCATTACCGCTTCAGAGGTAATGGGATTAATCAACGTCGATGCTTTAATTGCAAAAGACCGTTCTGTTTCTCCTTTTCGAACTTTGTGGGTTCGCTTTAATTTAATTGCCTGGCCTATAATCGTCAAAGCAGTGCGTTTTGTTTGGAAGTTGATTTCATTCGACGTTGAAATAGCAATAAATGGGACAAATGGAAACACACTGTGACAGAAACCGCCGCGAAGTATTCGATTTCTTGGCTAAGTGTTTCGAGCTGTTTACTGCATATGAAAACAATTTTCAATCTAGATTGATCAAGTGGAATGCCAGGATGTCCACTCTTGACAATGCTACATCAAGATGTGCGACCGAACAGGTACAAGCTGTTTCAAGACAACTAAGGTATCCTCAAACCTGAACTGTGAAAACAAAGGTAGTCTAATAAGAGGTAACTCAAAACAGCATGTACTGCTCGGGGTCATTCCCAATATAAAATTCTTTAGTAATGAATTGAAAGACTAGCCAAAGCATCGCACCAACAAATAATAAACCAAAGAACCATAGGTGCTGAGTAGCCCCCTTAGCAAAATTAACTACTGCAACGAGGACATCCCAGTCTTAAATCCGAAACTAATTGTTTGACTATTGAAATAGCCTACATTAGCTTCATTGCCTTGATTCGTCACTGCATGGTTAGATTTGAGGTCTCACTCATTTAGGAAACTTTTTTTGCCCATTGCAATGCCAATCACAACCCCAAAATTTGGCTTGTATTTCAGGCGGCCGTGGCGCGTGGTGTTACTGTTTAACAAAAAGTAGGCACGCCAAATCCAAACCCAGAATCAATGAAACTGCTACCCCCTAACAGCATAGAAATGCCGAACGCCAATTCAACAAACCTCATCTATTCCAATGCTGTTCGTGCAAACTCATTAAAGTGGAACTAAAATCTAAATCAGATCATCTTTCCGGGTCCTGGCATTCGTAATATGCCAATTAGCCCCCTACCTTTTCGGTACATTAGCAATATATGTTCCAACACTGCCGCTTCGGCGCATTACGACTTCGGGGAACACTCGGGGCGCTGTACACGCTCGTATAATCATTGCATATTTCCTAATAGCATATTTAAATATTGATGCATAAATCATACTTTCTTGCTTGGGAATGCCTCTAACCAAGGGATTGGAAATTGGTAAATAGGCTTCGGGTCTCCTCCGAGACATTTACGGTCTGATCTGCCCAAGCGCAAGGGTATCGTGGGACTACGACCATACCCATTTAATATTTGATCACTTTTTATTTTATAACCACATTATTATTATTATTATTATTATTATTAACCATCCCTAACTCCTTAGAATTTGTCGTCATGAGAAAACCCAAACATTCCAGAGAAATAGGAACAGGCTGGTGGAAACGGAATCATGATGTTGAATTTCTAGTTGTGAAATAATTGCATAAATAGAACAACACACTTTACATCGTGTTACCTTAAGTAAAAGCTTAATTTCCCGATCAAAGCATCATATATACAAACCAAATTTCAAATTCTCATGATTGATATTCTAACCCGACTGAAATGTGGAAGATTATTCTTCAACCTTTTTGAATATCACCTGGATTGGAATTTCCTAATCTCCTTTTATTTTGGCAACTTTGGATCTGATTACTTGTTCATAATTATTGCAGCAATTCCAATTAGGCACATCCCAGAAACCTCTGAAAATGATTATCGGGGGTGTTAATAAAAGCAATTCTCTTCAAACTTTAACCTGCATAATATATTTTGGAGTGAAATTGAAGTCCTGTATCAATCCACAGGTCCCACTCTTCCACAATCAGTACAGGACGAGGGTCGTTACTGCTGTGCATGATTGCGCATTTCTGCACTTCAATCTATACTGAAAAGTTACGCCCATAAATTAGTAACTCCGTACTCTAGGAAGTCCTAGACGAGCCATAGAAATTCAAGCGTGGACTAATTCTCCCACCTCCCATGCCCCCTTATAGTACCAGGGTCACTCAACACGGTGAAGTGCACTACCTTACAAAGTCAAGGCCTTGCGGAACTGGTTGCGCCTGGACTTCAGGCGAATGTCCGATACCTACAACTTGCAATTAATTCTTATGAAAGCTTATCTTTTTTAAATGACTTGTCCTTACCCTGACTATAAACATCCACTTCCCTTCAACTTATGCATTCTTTCCCACTTTTACACGAAAGGGATTGCACAAAAAGACCTTCTGCAACAAGCAATCTGTGAATTTACCCGTTTGTTGATAGTAATTTTCGTCCAAATTATGTCACTTTCTGTTCAAGAGTTTCCGAAGAACTGTTTTGAAAAGTTGGAACCCATGAATGTGCCTCCGAAACTAAGCTTTCCTCCGTTGAATAGTCAACTAATAATAACAACACAAGGCTGAAGAGGCGTCTAAGTGACCAGGTTTTGCAAGGACTGATGCCTGCTCATGGTCAATTTGTTTACTTTCTTCACTGCGCAAGACAGTTTGCGTACATATCGTAGAAAAATTTACAGTATAATCACAAGATAACTTAAAGGGCGGGTCAAAGTGATTACAGGCGATATTTACACGGGATCTAGATGAACAACAAAGCTCTCAGTCACCTGTGGGTACATGGCCTCAATAAGTTCGGCGATCCTGTTTGCAAGGTTTTGAATCTAAAGAGTTGTTTCCAAACGATTAATTCAATTCAATACTCATTAACAATTTAAGTAACGTGCCCACTTATGACCGGTCTCAATATGCATGATCGCATTACCGAAAAATAATAGAATTTTTGAAGGAAAACCCTGTCGAGAAGAGTGCACCTGCTGGTCCACTAAAGTGAGATCCCCCGGCAAGACGAACCCTCGGGGCACACGCACAGATATATTTTATAAAATGAATGAATAAGGAAGAACAAAGATGCCACTGTTTTTATCTTTGAGGGATACGCAGATCGATTTTTAACACCTAGAAGTGTGCTCCCCCAAAGTAAAATAATTCGAAATAGGAATGCATGACAGATCTAACAGGCATTGATGATTTAAAAATAGGTGACGCTCAGAATTTCGATATAAAACTGCGGTTACTTCCCATAGACTAAATGAATATGACCATAATTTTAAAGTAAATTTACTCATTAATTAGGAAATAAATAGCAAATCCAATGGGTATTTGTGAAAAAAACTAATGATGGTAGATTACTTCTGTTCCCTGCTTACTAAGAAGCTAGAACTTCAAAGGCTAATTATCAAACAGTGGCAACGTCCGAACGGTGAGCTTTGAGAAACAAAAAAACCTCACTTCATCGATCTCAGATGGTCGAAGGAGCTGATCAGCCAGGATAGCGGACGGATTCCCCAAAGTAGTGATTACGGTAAAAATTGAATCAGGAAGATCATTTTTCTGTGAAAACTGTGTGCTAAGAGTAAAAAGATTATTCTCTCTAATAGAACCATTCATAAATACCGAGAGGGTGTTTGGACAAGCCGAATGGGAACGATTTTACGACGATGCAAGTGCGCTTACTTTTACAATGCACCTCGAAAGTAGCTTGTCTTAATTGCCGAACACGGTCCCCTTAAATATGCCAACGATTGAGCATCAACATTAGGGCATAAAAATTGGCATAGTCTGCGGGGATCATGAGAATATACAGTGAGGGATCAACACAAGGGCCTTTCAGCTTATTTTAATGCCACAAACCAACTGATTCAAAAAATTTTGAGATGAACAATAGTCATCCTGAACCTGAAAGAGCGGAAGTGATCTACCATGATGAATAAGCAAATGACTACATCAAAAGCAATGATGAGTAGCCTAATAAAGTTACACAGCCCCTTATATTAAGAGCATCTTAGACTTATTTCACTTTTAACTTCAACCAATCAATTTGCGACATGCCACATATATGTGTAACTGATATAGAACCTCTAAGAATGATACTGGCGAAGCGCAGTTCCATCGAAAAAAAGTTTATGTAAAAGTGAGACAAAAGGATACGATAAAAAGTAGTAAGTCAACTTACGCGTAGTATTCAGCACGAGCATCATAGTCTTGCTGCTCGAGGAAATTGACATCTGTCACACCGGCATCAACAACTTGTCTGCAAAGGAGAAAATTAAGTCAAAGTAAGCAAAAGGAATGATGACATGATAAAAACGTACGTTTCCACTACTTTGAGGATACTTGACATCATGTCCGTCACATTACCCTCCGGTTGCAGCAGTTCTCCATTAAAAGTCGGAGCACTGAGTAAAAAGAAGCGCCAATTTAATCCATATTTAAGCAAAAAGCCAACGAACATTGTAAACATTCGACACGACAACAATCTCACTATCAAAAAACTAACTCAATTCGCATATTAGGCCGAAGGCACTAAAGCAAACTACAGATCGATCAACAAAATTCAAATGGCAATAACTAATGCTGAACAAAATATCCTTGAAGATATTAAATCAGTACATATTACCGAAGAGTTCAAGCAACGTTAAAACGCTCTTCAATTCTGCAAAAAAACTTTTAAATTAATTCGTCGAAAGGGATGTCCTTTTCGCTTTTCAATTCAGTGAAAGATTTTATGAGAACTAGGTAACGTTACCATTTGGTGAGATATAAAGTAAAAAGTACGGGAAAGAGGCGTACTTCGAATAAGCATGCTGAGTTGCTTCACAGGTTTGCCCGGACTCTTCGACAAGTCTTTGTGTCTCATTATCCTCTACCTTAAATTACAAAGATTCACCTCGAATTTGCAGTGCAGTTTGAAGAACACAGAGCTATTTTGTGAAGAAATTAATTACACGAATCATAACAACTGCAATTATTATGACACATGGTAAATGTAGGACAAACACTTAACCATGAAGACTTACACCTGGCTCATTTGATTCGTATCCGCAACACCTTGCGCAAAGATTTCCCATTATGCTAAAGAATTTTTTGATTTAAGAAGAGCAAATAAAGCAGCAGAGGTGGAAAAAGAAGGCAGTTGTGTCCATAATTCTATTCAATGCACGAACGAAACAGAAACAGCCAAAGACACAAGCATAACCATTTAGTGTCCATACCTTAAGAAAATGCAGATTAGTAATACTTTCATACTTTTGGAATTCCCACTCTCTATTATCCAGAGGACAAACATTTCTTGTCTTGAGCCAGCGCGATATACAATGAAAATGAAAAGCATGCTGAAAGGGTCAAAACCTCTAGTTACAACATACATTGCAGTGACCCCAAGCAACTGTGCATTCCTCAGTTCCATCTGTAGCATGATTTGCTTGACATTCAATACCTTAAAGTAATAAGACCACTATAATAAAGACGACCATACATAAATCCATTATGTGATTGCGACAGATAGCGCAGTTATCTACCACAATATCCCAGGCCCAAAGTGCAACCGCGTTCCACTTCTTGATTTCGAAGCGTTTGCTTACCAGAGGGACAGGTGCCCGGACAGGAGCTTCATCTACGTCCATACTCGACATCCCAAGGGTTAACCACAGCAGCAGACAAAAGGCATACAACTGAGGAAACCTCAATTATTCAACAAGCATGTAAGCAATCAAATATTAGGAAAATCATCATAATCTTTATAAAAGGCTCATTAAAATTGCGATCCATGCAAATTTGTTTCAATTTCGTCCCATAAAATAGAAGAAAGCACAAGTAGAATGCATAGAAAATTTTGAATGAGAAATTTACAAGATTTTGAACTCTGCTCTTTTTGCTCACACATTCGGCTTTTAATAACCACGGAAAGTAATTTTACACATATGCTGTCGAATTGTGCTAGTATCTGTTGTAGTAGATCTTTCGGATTATTACCCATGTTTGCAAGCTCTGTTAGCTGAAACATATCATTGTTATACTGATTTTTCTTTATCTTATGCAAAACGTTCCCGTTTATTTTGCTTTTTGGCAACATCGTCTCCTCTAAACGAAGAAATATTTTAACTTTTCCATAGACGCACTTATTTGTCTATTTAGCGCCATTTGTATACTCTGGCGCATTTTCTGCCAGCAAGTTTTATTTCCATGTTCAAGACTAGAAGCAAGCAAAAATGCCGCAATAAGGTCCGCAAGGCAATAAGAGGTGGTGTATTTAACGAGCGTTTTTAAACGATATCGGGTTTTGGGTAGGTGTCAGCAAAACCGGGGTACCACGTCTTTTATTCGCGCCGACGACAATTCTTTCTTACAAAATTTAATTCCAAAATATAAAACGCAAGCAACTTTTTACTGGATGATCCTGGTAAAATGTAGCTTCCTAAGACTTTCCCGAAGACAAAAGAAGACACAATACTCGGGCAGAATAAATATATTCAGCACAGAGAAGGTGTTTGGGCTACTGGCGTAACCCGAAGCCCAGCCCACCCAGCGTGATACAAGAAGGTAAATTCAAAAGTTTAAAAGTGGCGCTTAATCAATGTCGAGGGATAAACCACCATCGTACCACAAAAAAGCCTTTGTGACCTGGCCATGGTACTTCGCCGGACGGGCTCGCCTTCAATCCACGCTGCTGACCCTAGTACCTTCTTTGCGTTGAGTGCATATATATTTTGCCTGAGTATTACGTCCTACATCTCCAGGGAAGTCTCGGAGTCCCACAGAAAAATTCAGGCCTATTTATTTTCTTTAAGTACTCCTAAGAAGTGTTGCCTTGTATTCTTGCCCCAAATATGCTTTATTATTGTGTTTCTAGGCTCGTTCTCTTTTCAGGCAAAAGATAGCATATTTTACATTCTCGCCTGTATGAATTTTTGGACCTAGACTTTTAAACTGCACTTATACGAAGCGCAGTTTAAGGTCAGGCGCCTCCAGTAATCTTCATCACGTAGTTGGATTTTATTCGTGCATAACTTGCCGGTGCGGTCGCGGGTGTTGTCTTTGTCAGTCATGCCGAAATGTGTGCCAAGAAGTAAAAAAGGAAAATGGGCTCGTGAAAACATGTCTATTTTGTCGTTCTTCACGCGTTTGGACGCTTCATCAGATAAAGGGAAAGAAATGAATCAACAGGAACGGTCATCAAGTTCTAACGCATTACCGGAATCTGGCAAATGCGTTTTGCCGCCGGGACCACCATGTGGCGACGTTAGTAAACATCTTCCTGAAAATGAATGCAGAAAATGTCCCAAGTACAAGTGGTTAAAAGGTACAGCTTCGATTACTTTGTATGAAATGTGAATAGGTGCGCCATTCACTGTCGACGCATTTAAGTACGGTGCTGTAAGTGGGTGCATTGGTTACTTTCTCACTCACTTCCACTATGATCACTATGGTGGCATGTCCACGAAATTTGAGGGGACCGTTTTTTGCAGTGAAGTTAGCTTTCTGTGTCTTTGAAAATTTTTACATAGGTGACGGCAAGGCTTGTTAGAGTGAAGTTCGGTCAATCGATTTCTCTCGTTCCTCTTCCTACGAATATTTTTACGCGTGTTTACGATTGCGATATTTTACTAATCGATGCCAACCAGTAGGTCCCTAGTTTTTTGCACTATGTAATGCTTGGATTGCCCTGTTTGCCTACTCCTAATGTATTGACATTTTTACTTGTGTCATAATGCTCTTACTTGCTGTGAGTTTTTTGGCCAAACACCTATGTCTTGAAAATTTTCACACCGTTTATTTCACCTGTAAGAGTAACATTTGTGGCGTTTTTGTAGTGCCTGTTTTCTTTTTTACGATCCAAATTAATCGTGCTTGTTATGCCATTTTATGGTAGTTGCCCGGGCTCTGTTATGATACTCTGTCGACCCCCCAATGGCGAAGTTAGTCTTCACACCGGCGACTTCAGGGCCCATGCTAATATGCTGCAGGCACCAAGTGCTCTAGCAGATTTCGTTCAAAATGGACTGTCAAATCCGAGGATTGATACAATCTTCCTGGACACTACGTAGGCTTTTCATGTGCAAAACACCTTGTTATTTCCTTTGTCTTCCATTTTTGACTATATATCCATTTTTTTCGATTGGAGGAGTTTTAGCCAAGCTTTTACTTGCCTTACTCTAACTTTATTATTCTTTGTAATTTTCGCTTATCGGTCATGTTTGCTCAAATTCGATTTTGTTCCATTTTTTCGCATGAAGTGCATTTTCACTGAGTTATATTACGCGCATTCTGATAAATGTCTTCACTGGGATATTAGTTCTAAAATTATTCAGTAAGGTGACACGAGTCCAAGTAAACATCCCCTTCTTGATGCGTAGTCGTATTCTCCTAGTTTTTAGTCACAAATTGTTATTTAATATTTGTAGAATTAGAATTAATTCAAGTATACAACTCATAAATCCCAATTTTGTTATGGTACTGATTTTGTGCGTATTTGGCTTAATACATCAGTATCGTGAAACTTTTCCCGGTCTAATTGTTAAAAGTTTAGCTTTTGTCTTAAAATTCCTTACTGCTTTCGTCTAAGCACTTCGATTGTGTCTGATTTCGTAGAGTGGGTGTTTTGAATTGCTTTACTTCGTCCTCCAAATCCAAGGCATCGTTTCCTGGTTTTCTAAATATTTGCTTATGGGAGTATTGTGTGATGGCGATTTGTCTTGAATAATTATCTGGATTAGTGCTAATGAAGTCGTTCAAACAACTTCGTTTGATTTGGTCTCTTTAATAGGCCATCTATAGGTCATCATTTTTTTATTTAGCTGCTTTGGCATGAAATCACTGATGCACATGCAGCTTTTAGTCCCACCTCTTATAACCAGTCTTCAATTGCTTTTTGTCCTACACCTCATAGTTTGCCGGCGTATTCTGCGAGTTTGCATAACCATATTTTGCTGCTAAATATTATTTTTGGTCGAAAATAGGCTACTAAATTCAATTTAGCAACAATTATTAACCCACAATGGAATTTTTCTCTGCCTAGGTTCTGTGCCCCTCAATATGCGTTTCCACAGCAGGACCTAGTGATTGCGGCGGCAGTAGAAATTTCTCGTGAAGCGCTCCTTAGGTACCCCAATGCACTTGTGCTATGTGGCATGTACACCATTGGAAAGGAACGGTTCGTCGTCAGTAAGATTTTTAACTCAATCTGTTCTTGTCCGCCTTTCTTTTACCTAGCCGTCTGTGATCGGCATTGATAAGCGTGTGGGTATACGTTGTCACTTGGTGTTTAGTATGAAATAAAAGTGTGCATTTCGATAAAAACTACTATACTTTTGCGTTTTTAGACTCACTATTTTCAGCGCCATAACCTTAATTTTGCAGCATGAATGTGCCCAATTCAGTGACATTTATTTGTTGAGAATCAGTTTTAATATTTTGTTTTTGTAGTGTGTATAATTTAACGTCGGATTTATTTATACATCAAACCTAACTTTGGTGCGGACGGATTTTTATATCATACGTTCCTTTCATATATTGTTCATACCGTTCCCGCGGTACATTATTCAATTCGACATCATTTTCACGTTGCCCAAGTTTCTTACTTATCCAATCCCCTGCTCTTTAGTCAATCCATTTTTTTTTGCCCGTCACGCTTACATCACTTGAGGCGAAGAAAGTTTTTGTGTAGTTTTTTTCACGGGTTCGTGCATTCACACGTGAGTTCATTGTGCATACCACCTCTGTGACGCGTGGCACGCGCGGCCCAGCATGTGTGATTCCGACGCTCGCAGTGAAATACAAACCACCGAAGGCATGAGCCTGTTCTTAGAACTATAGCCCCTTATAGTGTAAAGAATCTCTTTCGTAACTTTACAACTGAATTAGCAGCACACCACGACAGTCCCTACACTTTTCCACTTTAAACTGTATGCTTACGAGATTAATTAAATTAATTCACCCTTAGAGTGTTCCAATGATATTTCGCATCTTCCCAATCATAATAGGGGCAATCGCCCTGTGCGGTTATCGACGTTGCTGTGTGTTTATTTTCAGTTCGGCAGTTATATTACGTGGTCATATAACTATCTTGATTTCGGAATCTTAAGATTTGTTTTGCGAAGAATGTAACCAGATTGTCTCTCCCCGAAAATCGAACCTATTTTGAATAATGATTAGTTATTTCGTTTTTCTTAATTAAAATTGCGTGACTCACGTCTTTTTTTCTATCCACAGAAGGACTTGCTATCTAGGTAGACTGACTATAGCTAGGTGCTGAGTGCGGCTAGTAGACACGTCTTTGCACTGAGCCCCGGTGCTTGTGAGGTACATCGTTAACCATGCATGTCCACGCGTGTAGGCCTGGCTGAGCAGTTGGAAGCGCGAGTGTGGCTTCCTGCCAAGCAGCGCGGCCTCGTGACGGCGGCGGCGGAGGGCGGGTGCGAGGTGTGTCGCCGCCTCCTCTCGCGCACCGTTACCACCTCTTCTGAGGCACGTGTCCACGTTGTCGATATGGGTCGGCTCAATCCTCGTGCCGTCCTGGCCAGCTTTATGCCCACTGGCAAACCTATTATCGCCTGGAAACCTTCGGGGTGGATGTACAATCCGCGTAAAAGGGTTACAGATCCGACGCTCCGACGTCTACCTTGCACCCCTGAGACTTTTTTACGCCTGAGGAATTGCATTTCTGTCGAAATGATCGCAAAAACTGTTTACGTTTTCGGTAAGCCGTCAGTCCTATTGCGAGTGTGACCTTCCCCTTGATTTTATATTGCGTATTTGTTTGCGGGACGCTCGCAATACTTTTGAAGAAGGTTTCGTGAATACGCCGATGGGCAAGTATTCGCCTTTTGTTCTCTAGTCCTCACCGTGTGTTGCCTGAGCCCAACGCGTACGTAATCGCTTTAGGTACTGATTTAGCTCACCAAATAACATTTAGGTATTCACTTGTCTGCCTCACCATTTCAATGGGATTTTCTTTTTTAGATTCTGTTGCCAATGACTATTCGTATTTTACGTTATTAGTTCCTTCCATCGTTTGCTTTGCAAAGTCTTAGTTGTCTACAATGTGATAATTGTGCAATTTTTACTTTACACGATCTTGTAACTTAGCTCCAACTACTCAGAACCGGAGGTTTATAGTGAAGTGTGAAAGCTGTTATTTTGCCAATATTTAAGAATTTTGCTTTAAGAGTGATGAGGGCAAAACTGTTAAATTTTGCAATTTTGTTTGGAAATCATAACTTGTATTTCTCAGAACTGCTACCTATTTAACTGGGCGATGCTCAAAGTAAACATTCATTCCCTATTTTATCGAACTGAAGGGTTTTGTTTGACTGGACATATTCTTGAATATTTACTTTAATTGTGCATCTACTTATAGCTATTTTCGTGTTGTGAGTTCTAGTTACTTTAAAAATAGCCTTTTGTAATTGTCATCTGCGTCTTGCCCCAATTTAAATTAGCTATAGGCATACATTCTGTCGCACAAAGGCTATAATATTTAAAGGCGTTATGCTTATAGAATGTTTAGCGCAAAATCACCAGTCGTGTGTCGCATTTGATTTTTATTCAGCTCAGTTAACCTAGGAATGTTTTGTTATCCTGCTATTTTGTTGAGTACACATTATTCACTCGTTGTAGAATATGGTGCGTGTGTGCTAACTGACTTTTACTAATTACTTTCCTTGAAGGAGCTTCTTATAGTGAACACAGTAGTTTCCTTGAGCTGAAGGAATTCATAACCAAGTTGAAACCTATGAAAGTTCAACCCACTGTTTTTGGTGGAGCAGCCAAGGACGCACGCAAGCATATCGACGGATGGCTGCGATCTGATGAGGCAGCCGACACTTCCTCCAACAAGGCCTGATGCGATGTGATTGCTCGTGTACAAATCCCATTTTCCACTATTTTTGTACGTAAGATGGCTTTAATAAATGAGTCGAACATCCACTGTTCCATTTATTGTGATGGGGCTCGTTTTTAGTCACATTCATATCCTACGTCAAGAGTTGTATTCTTCCAGTTGACTTTTTCTACTCTCGAAAAAAAGCTACTTGTAGGACTTGTTTTTGTTTTGATTTTCTTAAACATGTTATCAATGTAGACATTTGGAAGTGTGTTTAAGTGAGAGGTAAACTTATGCGATAAAAAGGGAGTGCACGGGACCTGTGGCGGAGACGGTCTCTCACGAGGAGGGGGGTTCTTACTGTCTGCCCCTTTTGACTTCCTGCATTTACTAAGGCCTCCATTAGGTCAGCCTCCAGTTTCTCAAGACGTTAAGACCCTATAATCTATTCCATTTCTAGATTCAATGGTTATCACTTTAAATGAGTATTCTTGCACGAAGATGGGAGCCAATCTCCAAATAGCTTTTATTTCGATCACATGCTCCCGGCTGCGGTTATTGCATTTTCCCCAGGCCCAAATAATGACCTCTGCAACTAGTGATACTCAGATGAGGGATTTGAATGTTTATACTGTATGCCTAAAACACAAACACTTAAGTGAGAATGCTGATATTAAGCAGGGCCAATTGAGCAAATAATAGCTGCAATAAAAAACTCGAAACAACTGATATCCACCACAACTTTACCAAATGATCTGTAGTAAGATTAGCGTTATCACATATGATATGAGGCGTAGTACAAACACTCCAGGAAGGACTATCGAGGTGAAGTAATGTCGGGGATGGAGGTGGAAGGGGAGGGGTGGGATCGAGGCAAGAAGGGGAGAACCTCTGGGTGGGTCAGGTGCCCATGTTTGAATCAGCAAGTTCGGGGAGGCAAGAGTGGTGGAAGGCTATCATGGTATTGCAAACGGAGTCGGTGAGGGGAGAGGTGGAACCCCAGCAGTGTGGACGACGTAACATCAGCAGTTCTCCCTCAGCCACCAGTCGCGCGTTCTCCTCAAGGGCTGCTCTTCGCTCCGACTCCTCCAGCTTCAGGGAGAGTTCATTCACCTTTTGTCATGGTAAGACAAAGACATGCGGCTGGAATTTTTATCAAAATAGTAACCGAAGAACAGGTCAGTATCAGATAGCAATGTAGTTTTGCCTCCAAAACAAAAAAAAATTTCTGGTTCTGTTTCACTTCTTTTCCAGCTGTTCTATTTGACATGCGATTGTCTTATGCTAAGAAAGGTAATCACCTTCATTTTAAATCATGAAAAAATACGAGGTGCGAGACAGCACCATCTTCCTATCCTATAGCTTAAGTCTTCTCACAGGTGTATTTTGCAATATGACGTATGTGGCCTTGCACTGCTTCGCAAGAACAGGACTTTATTCCGACTGACTAGCATTTGACATTTCTCCAGAAGGCCTTGCACATGTTCCAGTTTTACTGTATTGAATGAATAAATCTCATCAAGAGTTTTCTGGTCTTCAAAAAGTGAGTGGTACCGTCTGCGGTCCTTCACACACGAAACAAAGCATTTTGGGAACTAAGTAGTGCCCTGGTAAAGTGCGTAGCGGATCATTTGGAGATGACCAGTGATGTGTTTGACCGATTTACGATCCAAGACAAAAACCACTTTTCATCATTTCAAACCACACGCCTTCATAAAATATGGGAAAAAGGGGAGGAACATATCGATAAGCAGAAATTTATTGCATCCATTAATGCATACGGGTGGGACCTATCTGCATACCGTCCACGACCTTTCCAGTTAATGTAAGGGGAAACGAATTGTTTCATTAATCATGCTGAGCATTGCCGCATGTTGTTCTTAACATGTCAGGATCGATTTATTTTGATTAATACCAAGACAACTCTCCATTATCAAGAATAGGATACCTTGAACGTGGAACATTTATATTTAAATACTTCATTGCCAGAATCGAACTGTTAATAATTTTTAGGCGACTCGTTCCACAACCGCACCTTCAAATGCTATATGGGTTTTTTGGAGACGCTTTGAATTTTAAAGTCGAGTCAAATTTGGTTCGTAAAGGAAGCATACTCCAATCACATCCACAAAGTTCAACGAACATTGAGATTCTAAACAACGGGGAAGTAAAGAACACAACATGGGGCATCGATAGACTTTTCTACATCTAAATCTCGTGATTTGGATAAACTACCGGGTGCATTTTACAAGTCCCTAAGAATTGCAAGTAATCCCAGAGATTGATACCGAAAACTGCAGGAACATTTTCATCAGGCTGATAGTTGTCTCGGCAATGCATAATTTATGCGCATAAATGAAAGTATCAGCAATAAAATTATACCATGCTATAAGAAACTAAGATATCTGACAAAGAAATAAAAAAAGCCTAGGTCTCAAGGTAGTATTTTGCCAAGAAAGCACATGAAGACTTATGATAACTAACAAAAAGTTCCAATTCACCTATCTTCGTTGTTCATAGTAGACGCTAATATGTGCCACCTCAAGAAAGGATCAACCTTGGATTTGGCTATTTCAACTAAAACCCACTTAACGTGCCACAGATAAGCGTATTAAATATGTAAGTGTGTGTACACAAAGAGGAAGGGATTTCAATGCATGCAGCTATTAAACAAAAATAATCTTGGACCAATTGAGGAAGTTGTGCACATAGAGAGGACGTATTAATCGAGGGACACAAAAACTCACGTAAAGTGACCCAATTACATGAACGGTATGATTCTAAATTCAACAAAGGGATTAGGTCCCTCCGAAAGGGCAAGCCTTTAAGAAGGCGACAAATACCTATGCAATCACTTCGAATCCTGCATTTCGAGGGCTTGCATAAAAGAAACCGTATAGGGTGTCGGCTGGAAGAGCCAAGCTGGAAAATCAATCCACATCTTAAAATCTAGTCCTTTCAGTATTCGTTTGTCTTATCAGTGTTCCAAAGGATAGAAACGGCATTCCTTAAGACCCTTAAGCTCTGCTCTTCCATTATATGCCACTTAATAAATACATCAAGTGAAGAAAAAATTATAAAAGAGTAGACTGTGAGGGAAGTAAAGGGGAACCAAGTAAAGTTCGGGCATAAAAAATATAATAGCTTTGCTAAAATAAGGGCTACAACATATTCATCAGTACGAATAACACTGAGATGTTCAAGCAACACTAACGCTCGTTATTACGCAAAAAAAGGATCCAAGAGATGCATTCCTTTAAAAAAAGGGAAAATTACAGTGGACACCTGAAAATATGGTGTTCTAACAATTCAGCGTACCATTTTTTCTAATTCGTTTATGCGCACTTCGCATTCCTCAAGCCTCTGGTCGTTGCGCTTTGGACACAACTTCAAATTGGTCGCCGATCTACTAGGAAGGAGATCGTAGCCCGAATGAAGGTGGTCGTTAGATTCGTCGATAAGGACGACGGGGTCTGCCGATTTGAGCAGACGCGAGTTTACACTTTGGCTGGTGGTCGCAGTGTTCTTAGCGATAAAACGGTGAGTCAGCAGGAATTGATAGGGTCGAAGAGCGTCAAATTGGCGATGGAGAGATTCTTGGCGCATCTCAAGGATACGTAGTTCATCACTCTCGATATTCAACTCAGACTTCGCTTTGTCAAGGTAGTCTAAGCAATTTCGATAAAAGAAGTGACTCCAAGAGTTCACATACTCAAAGCCTTTTGAAGAGAATTCACTGCATCGGCATAATTGTTCTCCACAAGATCGATAAACTTGGACATATTAAGAAGAGCTCGTTCGCTCTTGCGTTCATAATAATTTGCCTAGAAAGACAAAAAACACAAATTTTCCAAAATATTGTTTAGCAAACCATACACAGTTGGAGGAAGATAAATTTCGCACAGAAAATGCAAATAACTAATAAGATCTGAGGGATATTATAAGAAGGACGCAGAAAGCGAAAAGTTTCAATGGTCATGACCCTAAAATAGAAGCACCCGACAAATTTTAATTCATTTTATATGTGATCCAGGTTCCCTCTTAAGAAGTGTGGGTAACATTGCCAAGTACCCATTCACTACCACTCAATACGAACTGAAAAAGATGTCATCAAGGATGAACTCCAGTAACAGTCCACTTTCGCGTCTAGTCAAGTTAAGACCTCTCTGAAGCGTGGAGCACACAGAAAGACTCGAATAATTTCCGAGCTTTAAATAAATCAAATAAAAGTCGGCTGAAATACGCGGGTGTCGAAGTACTGTCAATCCATGCATTAAACTAAAACTTGGAAATGTGTGTTTTAACTTCCATGTCGAAAATACCTCTCCATGGACAAAAAAACAGACCCCAAAGATCAACTATCGTGACACCAAGTCCCGGCTGCCAGTAAACACGCTACCACCAAGGATATTAACTGTCAGAGAAGAACACCAGAGATTTTAGGCATAAAGACACATTACAAAATAAAAGACTCATAAAAAAGAATTTTGAAGAAAATCATCCGCAACGAATGTTAGCCAATACCATCCCTGATCCTAAGGAAAACCACAAAACTTTCGGATAAAAAGGTTCTTTCGAATAGACAACAACTATACCTCGTTTAAATAGGTACTAGGTTCAAGTGAAATTTCCATGCCAATGCACAGGCATCTGTCACCACATATTGTGAGATTTATCATTCGGGCTTTAACGCCAATGACGAGTTTGTTGTGTAGCCAATAAAGAAAAAGTGTTCGTTGCCATTAGCGAACTGCAAATCAATCTCAATTTGGTTAATTAACTGGTAGATAATTAGCCATGCACCGCCCTAGTACAAGCAATGTCCGTGTGTGATAAATAAAGTCAAAAAGTTTAGAGGTTTTTATTAACTTCTGACGTCAGCAAAGACGTTTGAAAGTCTTAGTTGTTACGATTATATGGATATGCTTGTCTCAAGGCCTTTTAGGGTGTGTTTGGCTATTCGCTCACCATTCCTTACATTCGGTCGCCCTCCCAGCAAAAGGCGGATGGACGTTCTCGCACTTTTTTGTTAGTATGGATTCTAATGTTGTGCAAGACCCACTAACCTCTTCGCAAGTAGCATCTGTTTTCAATGTATCCTTTGAATCCTTTCACTCTGGAGAAACCCCAAATACAGCCACTGATGTTCGAAAGTTTTTTCCTCCCGAGGGTGCTGAACTCCTGAACACGCCTACGGGTACTGACGTACAAGGAATTACGAAAGCCAATAGGATTTTCTTCCCGGACGATGGTGGAAAGAGGGCCTCTGTATCCCTAAATGGACCAAATTTACATACTGCTGAGACGCTTCTGGACACCAAATCAATGAAAGTTGAAGATTTAAACATCCAGGGTATGCCTGATTATTTGTTGTCTTATTTCTAGTCATTCGGTGTTGTTTTTTGCGTCACTTATAAGCCACTTTCCCCTTTTCTCTACGCAAATAAAACATGCTTTTCTCGGCATTTTTGCTTAATTATTTCAGCTAGACTACCACAAATCATTTAAGCACTTTTCCTCAGTAAATCGCCTTTAAGTTTCAAATACGTGTAAGTTGAGCTTTCTGTTCGAGATCTGTACATTTTATAACTTGATTGCCCTTTTTGTACGTGCTTTGCTATCTGTGTTTAATAACCACAACATTTAGATTATCATATGCAACTTTGATGTTATAAAAACTGATGCTCAGAATGCTGGTGAGTGCACCAATAACTGAAGTTCTAAGAATGTAGCCGTTACTAACAGGGGATGTTTTTAATTCCTTGGATATCTATTTGGAAAAATCCCTCTTACTAATACTAATAAAACGTTACATATTTTTGGAAATTATGGGGTTGACTCCTCACCGCTGTTGATGTTGTGTGCTACATAGGTTTTAATGCAATATTACCTGAATCCCTTTATCCTTACTCTTATAATTGCGCTACTCTATAGTTGTTCGATTGGATGTCACTGAAATATTATTTGTGACCTTGCTGGTGATCTTGGTGTATTCCTCATGGCATTTTCGCATATGTTCGGCGCTCATGTGCGTATAAGTTTGCACGCAAGCGAGGCGAAATGGAGTGTGTGCTGCTAAATGCGTAGTCGCTTCAGGTGGTTGCGTGGATTACCTCCTCATATGCAATAACTGCGCGTTTCTGTTGATTATGGCAACTTTTTGTCTCCGTTCTCACTCCATCAAGAATTATTCCTTGTCAAAGAGCGTGCACTTCTAGTTCTGTGAAAGAATCGCGCTTTGATCAGTGCATGGATAGTAGGCTATTCATAAGTTATGAGTGCCACATTTATCGGCCACGTACGCATTGAAATATTCTACGTAACACATGATACTCTTGTCACATTTTTTGTTGAGAATTGCAATGTCTCTATAGCTGTTCAGTCATATCCTTTCTCCTGGAACAACTTTAACAGCAGTAGCTCATACCTATGACTATTACAAAGCTCCATTATCTGCATTCTCATTCCTTCATCGTTTTATTCTCGTTGCTTGCTGAGTAATGTTTACTAATAGGAACCGTTTTGCTTAGTTCGTGCGTTTTCTCAAAGTAACTGGTCCAAATATCCCCCCTATTAATCTTCTCGCCAATTGTCTGAATTGGTCATGATTTACTGTTTAATTGTCAAAGTATTATTTAGTTTCATCGTCTTATATTCATTGAGTAACTCGGAAGATTACATACATTGCATTGTTATTTAAAAGTTATGATACCTGTGCCGAATATAGGAGGGTTTCATTATTGCTGCAATAGTGTCTGCTTCTAATTTACAAAGGTGAATCTGATTTTAATTCTAAACATGCTGCTAACTTGTTAGCAGAAGGTGTTCGCTTGCCACAATTATTCCTTTGGTTGCCATGGTTATTATATGGTTTGCTACTAAAAAGTATCAATTTTGCTTGTGGAGACGTAGCAAAACTTTGACTCGATTTCATGTGCATAGATCTGCAGCACCAGCCCTGCAGATGTGGCACAAAAGATTATACATACGGTGGTTAGAAAATAGTAACCTTTTTGTCGTAGGAGTTATATCATAACTAACATTAACCCATCTTCTTTCGCTTAAAACGAAAAATGAATATTCAATCTTCCACTTTTACTATCATTTATTCTTAAGGACCGCATCTGCTCACTAGCAGTCGTTGTACCATTTTTGTTTACAAAGCAGTCAGTTAGGCATTTTTTTCTGCAAATTTTATGGGTGTGCTAATATCACAAGTCTTGATATTTGTTCCCTATCCATTCCTTTCAAATTTAGCTTATTTTTATGTTTAGTAGACATAATAGCGCATTTTTGACCCGTACCATAATCGCTTATCGTTACATTATGTGTCTAAGGCCTCGAGAACTTCAGTCGTGGTAGTGATTGTTACACTGGAACGATTTTGTTCAAATTTTGTTTATCAAGGTTCTTTCTATCAAGCGGGTTATTGGGGTTTTGTAATCAGTACAATTAAATTATCAGTCTTTCGACGAAATTAGTTTCCCACATTAGAATAAACATTTGTCTAGAGGGAGGTATTAATATTACCTCTTTATTAGCCCAAAATTGTTTCTCTAAATGGGTTTATCATGGTACATTTTTTTTAATTTATCAATATGCAGTTAGTTTGAGGTGATCTTCAGCTTTGATTCGGGATATTCAAAGGGTATCCCGGAGGTCTTTTTAATATGGAAATTCGAACTGGGGTGAACGAATTTGATCTCAATCTGACCTATTTCATGATGAGACATTTAAGTTTGTACCGCTTCTAGGTATTCTTGCTGTCATTGTCTATGAGTCTGTGACCAACGAGAGTAAATTAACTTTCCACTGACTACGGAAAACATTTAGCCTCATCTCAAATCTGTAAACTAATTTATTTTTGACTCCTACTAAACTGCTTAATCAATTGCTTCTTTTTTTCACGGTGAAGACGCCTAGAGCTTAAAAGGCTCTAACTGATAAAGACGATTGTCTGCCTAATGTGTACTTCTCGGTTAGTGTCAATTAGTAATTCTTGATGCTACCCCCTTCTCCAAAGTCCAGCCAATCGACGCAATGCTGGGATTTAGTGCCTCAAAGTATGCTTAAGTTTATTGTAATAAATCATTCTTGAAGGTGCATTTGAATGCAGACGTATAACATTTTTTCAGCAAACAATAAAGCTTGTATTCCAAATAACTTCAAGTTGCAAACATTGAAGATAATTTAAGCCCATCAGTGGTTGAGTTTGTCCTCATGTGTACATCCCTTTCAAGAGGATTGTTGATGACCACGCCTACTTTAACGGAAGCACTGAACAATTTATTTCCCCACTGCTGCTTCGGTGTGTGTTATCGCATTTTCGTATGCTTTCAAGTTTTTATGGCGCGTTTTCCATGTTCTTGCATTTAAGTAGTGCCGTTATAAATAATAACATCTTGCATTCTCGTTACGGGCAGATTGTCTTTCTTGTGGCGACTTTTTACTCATAACAGAGTATAAGCTAAACGCCGTCTTTCACTAGTCCGTAATTAATTTCAGACCAACAATTCTTCTTAACCTAAACATAACTGACCGTTCTTAAGCAGTGGCCGGGTGCTGCAAAAATAGTCGACTTTTTATTCAAAGTCCCCTTTAAGGAGCGTTTATTTTCGGAACTGACGCTATTTTAGGTATATGGTAAACATGTCTCCGATCCTTCACTTTTATTAGCGGTGTATTTGGCTTTGTGTCTTCGCTTGTGTTGATCTAACTCTCGAGTCGTCGTAGGTGGTTCACATTTGTTTACTGATAACTGTTAATACATTCGCCTAGTGACTCGCAAGAATGTTTATCATCTCCGTGTGAATATGTGTGCATCTATGCGAGGTTACTTTCATGCAGGATCCATTTATTGAAGTTGACTCCAAATATTTTTGGGACGGTGCATTTTCAAGGCTGGTAGTCAGTGCTGGTCAGATTGGCGCGTTAGTGAGTTTGACGCCCTTCTCACTATGTTCTCACGACGCAGTTTAACTCTTCAAAAGTCACTTCCCCTTCATGAAGTCCTACTGTTACTTCGCAAATGCCACTTCTGTGATTCATTCAAAATAAGTTCGCTTCGTTTTCATAAGGAGTAACAACCAAACCTCCTCTCACTGTCGATAAACTTGCATACGGTGAGCGGGAAGGTGCATCATAGCTGTGTTTGTAGCTGAATTGATAAACAAAAGTGGTGGAAGCAACGGTATGTGGGGCTAGACGCGGATGCCGTCATCGTCTTATACGTTCGCGCGCGTCTCTGCATCATGTACATTAGTACGGGCGCGGCCGCACGCGCATATCGCGCTCTCGTCCCCCTTCTCTCCTCCCCCCTCTATTGGTTTGCCGTACCTGACGCATCACCCGCACGGCAGCAGTTTCGCATGCGTGCACGTAGGCACATGCACGAACATGCAAATCTCTCCACGTCATGGTGCGTGCGTGGGCACACGAGCGTGTGCGCGTGCCTTCCGCAGTTTGTCATCGCTGGTGGCTTTTCTTGTCTCAGTTCTGGTACCCCATGTGCGTATGGGTGCTTTTGACGGCCCCGCAGCCTTTAACTCATTGATGTGGTTCGTTTTCTAGGATTTCGCACACTTGTTCATGAATCCATCGTTACTTGAACCAATCACAATCGCGGTCCAAGCGCCTTCCCCATATATTACCCCACGCTGATATTCGCTACGTTCGGTTGGAAAAATCTAAAGCCTAGTTGAATTACTGATGGCTGAGATAAACAGCTAGACGACTAGCCTATTTCTAAGGTGCTGCTGACGCGTACCATCTTGATTCAGGCAACTTTTAGAATAGGAAGTAAATTTAAAGTTCCACTTATTATAAGAATAATTGAATTTTCAGTATTTTGTGCCACTGTGTTCGGCAGGCACGCTTGGCGGTATTTGTGTAATTTGGAAATATACGGTGATTACAGTTTTTTTTGCTTGTAGAGCTAGAATTCTCCATTATTTTGGATTGATCAGTTCTTGCTTATCTTATTGATACAGCTTTTTATCTGAGTGTGCATCAAGGGACATTTTTAGCAGACATTGTTACTTTATAAGTTCATGTTATTTCTGATACTTTTGTTCTATGTGCATAACTGTACGGTGTCTAGTGCCAGCCCCGTATCGATGTTAAATTCTAGCGCAGCAATAGCTTTTAATTGGAAATGATAAGCAAAGACCTGGCTCCCTGTTCCCACCATCTTGTTCCACAGATCAGAGCAGTGCACCACTTTCATTGCTATATATGGTATTTGGTCTCTTCACTTAAGGCCTTCCTTGATGAATCTTCCTACAAAATTCGGTAAACTATGCTCGATACTCTGTCTTCGTTGAAGATGGTATTGTTACGCCATGGTTGAAATCCTCTTACCTTCCATCGTCTCCAAAAGAAGGTTTTGCAACATCTTGCTGGTGCCCAGCCATGTGAATCATCCTAACTTGGCTTAAAACTTCAACCTTTGGTTGACGTGAATTCTAGTTCTAAGTCTCGTGTTGGTGGTTCGGTTTAACTACTTGGGTGGTGTTCAATTTTTAAACCCTTTAGGCGAGCGTTTATTAATGTCTCTTTCTTGCCCATAATATTGTAATTTTTTGCGTAAATAGTAGTTTACTTCACCGTTCAGCTAACTTGACTGGCATCAAGCCTTACGATCCACTTGAAGCCCGTCGCTCACGTGGTCTTTTCCCTTTCTGGGTTGAATCTCGCCGTTGTGATGAACCGAACCTTGGTGAACGCTGAGACGGGTAAATATGCATGTAAGACGCGTAATATTTTGTTTGCAATCACCCGACGTCGCGTGCCTCTGGCATCGTAAAGCTTGCAACTAATGATAGGTGCCCCAGGTATTTGCTATGGTTTCTTTTTCAACGCACATTTACGTGGGTCCGCGTGTGCGTATAAATTTCAAACTTAAAAGCTTTTTCAGAAGGGTGCACATTATCAACATCCCAAAGTTTTTGTTTCAATGTGTTACGCACCTTGGTATGCCTTCTCATAGGATGTTTCGCCATTTCTTAAAATGTGCTGAAATTCCCGTATCCTCTATTCGTTTAGCATCCGAGGGAATTAATTTACGCATTGCTCCCTGAATTTCCTGCCTATGGAAGATGGTACTCTTGATGAGCGATTGCGTCACTGGCACTTTGTTGTTGAGAGGCTGTTCTGAGCAGCAGAAGCTTTTTGAGTAGATAAGCTAATTATACCTGTAGTCTGTCACAACCTTCTATCCTTCAGGAGTCAAATGCTTTGCCGTTTCAGTTAAATTTAGCTTTTCACAGGCGATTGACGTTTTACTGTGTATCGTGGTTTCTTCCATTTTATAAGAATTTTTTCACGTAACAGTCTAATCATTAGAATTATAGAACAAAAGCGCAGGTTTCTTTACCTTAATTTTGTGCTAAGTATGCTGACAAAGCACCCAACCGGTCTCCTAAAACTTCGATTTTGTATTTTCAATTGATACCTTTCATTAAGTTATAAAAATAGGGATGATCGTTGACTAGTCTTTTTATTGGTATGTTTCTGTTGCATTACTCTGCCTGACGAAATCGGGTTTGTGTACAAGTTCTAGAAATAAATGTAGCTTACCTTTCTTACTACACGTAATTCGCACCTTTCTCAGGTGTTCTTATTGCTCTTGTTACCTTAACCACAATATTCGAACAGAGGTACAAATGAAATTACCAAGCGGGCTCATCTTATTCCTTTGCACATCTAGATGGTCATGACTGGCCGAGTGATTTTGGGAAGCTGCATTGCCAGGCAAACCACGAAATAGTGATTTGCTGTTCGTTTGGTTTTGTATGCAGGTGTTGCCCCCTTTGTTATTATTATTATTGATATTTCCGCTTTTCTCCCCTTGCCATAGTGTTTCCACAATGCAGTTTTCTGCTTCTACCATGTGTGATATTTTTTCCTTGGGTTTTACCCAAGACTAATCTGGCTGGAGTAGTCTTTTTGATTAACTTCACTCCCAGCTGACTGCTGAGCTCCGGGCACGTACTCTCCTGATTTTGTTTCGGACCCTTATGTGTGTTTGTCTTTATGTTCATGTGGGAATAAGGAAAAAAAGTAAGCTGAAGGATCGAATTTATTCACTGTTGTGGCGGGCGTGCAAGTAGATTACCTACATTCAACCGTTTACGTTGCTTGGTTGATTCGGGTTACCACTCACTACATCACATCTTCAGGCCAGCGCGTCCATTGCGCTTCACTAGAGGAGGTTTTGTGGGGACTCCTGTTAGACTGCTTTCACCCTATTTAAGTCACTCCATGGTTGTACATTTGGTGTGGACAATTCATCTACTCTCCTGAAGTAGTTTGGCACGAAGATTATGTCGCAATATACTAATATAGTCGAAATATCTAATGAGGACATGCCTATTTTATAAAGAGTCCTTGAAATGCTCTTCATTTCTACGCATCTACAGTCATATTTGGAGATATTGTTGACAAGGCAGCTAAGTCTAATCTTAAGCAAATGCTAGATGGTGTTAGAAACAGCTGTCACGCGTATTTTTAAAACGAAAGCGGGGTTAATCCAAGCTCATCGATGCAATCCATATGCACATCAAATTACCCAAAGTAAAACTGACAACTTTTATTTTGCTTCATTTAACATTAAATTGTGACCAGCAATACTCTACCATTGAAGTGAATTGTCATGCCCTTATATCTATTTGTCCGTGCTGGAGGTACGTGATGCTGGAGGATCCGTGCATGGCATATGGGAAGCGATGTGCTGAAGCGCTTTTCTGCAGCCATTGAGTTAGAGTGGTTTATTTATTCGTGTGATCCACAAACCGTACTAACGTCGTTAATTCGCCCTACAATAGCATAACCTAATTCTTGCGTCTCAGAATCATTCCAGCCTTTAACTTACGTTCATTTGTATAAAGTCCATTCAATTTGACTTAGCTATTGATGTATCTGTCTAGCTACGACGAATTTTCTCGCGCTTTTTGGGTATGTTTTGACGGCTGCGTTACCGCTGTGTGTAATTAAGCATTTGAGCCTTAGCAGCTGTAGTGTTTCTGGTATACTAGTGCGTTCCAAAATTCTATTTAAATAACTAGACACAAATTTTGTTTTTAGACAACTGCGTTGCACTGTTCGAATGATGTTGAACTAATAAAATGCATACAAATAGTGCAGTTTCACCCTATAACGACTACTGCCACCTTCAGATGCATCGCTGGAGGCGATAAAATCCGCTGCGACGGGCACAAAGCCCGCACCACCATCATCAGCGGCAGCCTCTGATGATGCTGTGAGCATGGTGGTGCTGCCCTCGGTAACATCAAGCCTCACCACGGGAACCACCTGCAATCTTTCGCAGCCCGCCGAATCGACGAATTCCATTTCAACAACTGCGACAGCAGTAAATACGGTGGCAACGACGATGACTGCTCCCCTCGTCCCTCCACTTGACACTACAGGAATCACTGCGACCGCTGCAGCCCACGTCTGCGTGCCTTCCCTCAACCTCCCTCCGAAAATACCCTCTGACTCCTTCCACTCAATTTCGGAGCTTCCTAAGTCGATCATCCTCTCCGCCACTTCGGGCACTTCGCTTGATCCTCTGGTCACTCCCACCTTCGACTTCTCGCGTGTTAAATCCAGCCAGACCCAGCAGCAGCAGACACAAGGCAGCTCTGCGTCCGCTACAGCTCCCTTCAACTTCCAACTCCTCCACACTCCATCTGGCGCCAGTCCAACAATGCTTTCTCAGGTCGTAACTGAGGCTCACAATACCCTTCAGTCTCCAGCCGCCATCGGCCAAACGGGTTCTCATATATTCGACTACTCGCACTTTTTGGGTGATATCTCGAACACTGCAACTTCTATCTTCTCACCTGCGATCATTCTAAACACTCAGGCACTCCTCTCTCCTTCGGCGATGGATTGCGACGGACAGAGAGCTGGTGCTAGTGGTGCCTCTACAACGATGACCTTTCCGTCCTTCCTCAACACTCCTGGCTCCTCGCCGATAATATCTTTTTGGTGTTCGAGCCCTGGTGCAAAAGGCGGACAAAATTTTTTCTGCACTCCATTCGGAACCGGACAGGAGGCCAATACCACCGCGACCGCCGGGGCGCCTATCCTCTTTCCTACAAATGCCTTCCTTTCCTCTCCCAATTCGGCCGACAGTCTTCATCAACAGCAATCCCTTGAATCCGCTGCTGGGCTTCCTCCCGCAAGTCAGGTCTTGAATCTCACCAAGTCTAGCGTCTCGGAACCTGTTCCCTCCATTGCCAACACTCACACCACAATGCTTATGGACCCACCCAAAGTTTCATCAAAAAAGTCTACCCCAAGGCATACCTCTAGTCGACGAACCCCCAAGTGGACGAGGGGCTCTGTAGGTAGCGGCAAAAGTGGCAAAACGACACCGGAAGGAGCTGAGAAGCCACACAAGTGCCCGGATTGTCCAAAATCATTCTCACGTTCAGACGAGTTGACTAGGCATCGACGAATACATACGGGCGCTAAGCCTTTCCAGTGCACCACTTGTCACCGATATTTCTCGCGATCCGATCACTTGACCACACATCGTCGTACCCACACAGGTGAGAAACCCTTCGCCTGTGAACACTGTGACCACAAATTCGCGCGGTCGGATGAAATGAAGCGACACGCAAAAACGCATGAGAAACAGGCGAATCAGGCTCTCGTGGGGAAGGCTTCTCACAGCACTGCTTCTGTTGTTCCACGCAAGAAGCAGCGAGCTGGTCCACAGAGCCTTGGGAATGGTCGGCAACAGGCAGTGACTGCACCCTCACAGTCCCAGCCATTCATCTTTCTAAATGGTGATGACTTCGGCAGCACTGCTCAAAGCTTTCAGCTCGCTCCAGCGGTAAGTGGTGATTGCGGTGGTGTTGGTGACAAATCGAGTGATTTTGACCTCCTTCAGCCGATAAATTGCACAGCAACTGCTGTTGGTGGTGGTGCTTCGCTTTCAAGGCCAGGCCCGTCAAATAACCAACCGTCAGCACTGGAATATCCGGCGCAGATCCATTCGACCTCCCTGCCACAGCAACACTCGCCACCCATATAGATGTGTTTGCATTAATACACCGACCAGGTCTTTCGCTGTGTAATCCCTGTCACTTCATCTCCTTTCTTCAACCGTCTACTCACCTACCCCATTCATTTCTTGGTTTTGCTATTTTTTCATGATCACTGTTTCCTCGCGCCAGGTCTCTCGTCCCAGATTCTTCTTATACGTATATGCCTACAAACGACTTATTATTTTTTGGCTGCATATCCTTTCATTCATGTCGATAACCAGATTTTACCACACATCAATGTGTGCTCTCTCCGCTCCTCCCCCCGTCCTCACTTCCACCCGTTCAGACGACGCGGACGATATCTATCACTGCCAGAGTATCATACGTACGCTGTCCTACCACCGTATTTCATTCACAGCTCCTAAAAATTGTGCCTATGGGTGGTTTTACTGGTGACGGGATATATAAATGCTTATGATGATTAGGTGCCGAATTAATTTTGGCTGTTTTTTTTCCTCCCTCCCGTTTTTTTTTCAAGCCCTTTATACCGAGACCTCTCTCCCTACCCTGCCTCTTGACGCTGAGGCATCTGAAGACCATGCGGAACCTTACTTTGTATACTTTCGAATAACAACATATTAAGATAAATTTTCTTCAAATAAATCGAAGCCTGTTTAACAGGTCTACTGCTCATTCATTATTGTGCACATCTTATACTGTCGTTTTCGAAAAGTGTAATCTTAGTCGAATTTACTTTGTTTAATTAATTTGCTGTTTAGTTTTATTTTTGCCGGTTGAAGTGGTGCACTTTTGTAATCCGGTGAACATGCCTTGCGATAGGCTCGCTCTTCTCCTTTCGGAGCGTAGTCTCTGGTCTCTATTGACTGTCCGTTGTACCGTATGCATCGGCAGTGGCAGCTTTCAACGGGCTATTGAAGTATCACTGTCTAGCGGCAGCGCATTTGACGGCATTAAGGTACGCATTTATAATCATGGCAGCAAAGTTGTCGCTCTCGATGCAGCGTGTGTGGCTGGCCTAAGTTGATGCAGTTGCATTAGTTTATTTTAACGTGTCATGAAATAGAAGTGTGGCACGACCTCGTAACTTCAGGGGCTGGCGTGTTTGTGGTTGGGTGCTAGTGTGTGCGACCACAGCTGGAGGCATCGTGGTCTTGTGTGAGGCGTAGTTGACCCGTGCCGAGGTGATGACTTTTTGTACGGTTCTGTGCGGATCGACCACATTTTGAACATTACACTTATCAGTCACATTGGGCATTACCCGTTGTACTTTCTTCATTCGAATGGGACAATTAACAAAGAATGGAATAAGACAGTCATATCTCGAATTTTCCAAATAAACTTGAATGAAATTTAAACGCTGATTTTTAGTTGTGCTTCTCCTGTTTCTACCGTATCAACGCATTGTTTGCCTCCAAGTTTGTGATGTAGATAATTCAGATAGTGAAAGACCGACCGTGTCTTAATGCGAGGATTAAGGTACGTTGGGCCTTTGTTGAATAACACACTGGACCGCATTCGATTTCCTGGAATACTACTCATTCGATAATATTTTATTCTGAACTCAGCTAATTACAAATTCATGCTTGACACGTTGTGACTGCATTGGGATCGCAAGGTTTTTTTCATAAAACGCTAGAACAGAGAACGAGAGCATTATTAATGTTGGGAGTAAAGTGTAGAAATTAAAGTGGCTTTAAGTCTTCCCAGTATGTCGAGGTCTTCAACATTTGAAGCACTTATTTGATTTTCATAAAGAGCGCTGGACCTACTTCTACATAATTTTAGGCGCACCAACCTAACAGGAACCAATTTCGGATGTGGTATGCACGTGTGCAGTATTCCGTGTTGAAATAATGAAAAGCCCATATTTTAAGTGTATTGTTTAATGGATTAACTGCATTTGCAAATTAATGCCTCTGAATTACCAACTTTTAGGTAGATGAATGAAATTGTTTTGGCGTGATTCATTCGTGCAAAGTATTTTCAAATGTGGTTAAATTAGTATCATTGTATGGTGCTTTCACAGCGTATTTAGCGCTTCTGATGGCAGAAAAGGTTTGTGGGTTTGTGAACAATGTCTAGGGTCCAATTTCTAAAACAAATTCTGTAATCTGTTCGGAGGCCTTTCAATACCAACCACCAAAGCTAAAAGATAAGGCATTAAATTACCATTACATTTGTGAACTTCGATTTATGTCAGTGGAATTTGTGATCAAGAGATGCATCAGGGCTATGGAAACTAGTTATTCCCTGTTGAAATCAACCTATAGGTTTGAAAGCGTCTTTTCTAGAAGCACTAAAGCCCCCGATAACAGCGTTCATGGGGTTGACGCCTGGCCTCTACAACTAAAGGAATTAACAGTATCACTACCAAACATATTGTCAACTCAATAGTAATGGTGGTCACTTTCGGCCAAGTCTCCAATGTAATGCGAATACAATCCTATCCTGGAGTTGATTTCTGATAAATTAACAGAGGAAAACACCTAACCAAAAATGAACATATTCTCACCTGCGAAATGTGCTGACTGTAGAAAAAAAAAGTTTAGCGGTATATGCAAAACAAGAAATAAATTCAAACTCTGGCGCGTCCTTGAGGTGCTATGAACAGGTAGTGCAGATCGCGTCTGGCAGACATCTCACCAATGCTTAAAATGCATGCTCTCCACACTTGTGTGAGTCCTCTCCAATCGGTTCACACTCACCACCTCACACCGCGTTCGCTGCTCGGTTGTGTCGCCTTCACAGATGCGAATGCCAGCAACTGCGTGCTCCCGCGCTGGGGCCTCAATCAGCAAATCATCGCGTTCTCGCTGCACTGTTTACCTCAATGCCGCCTTTTCACCTAGCTCAAACCGCCAATGGCTTTAACCACGGGTTGAATTTATTGCACTTCTATACATGGCAAAAAGGCACAATACAAATGAGAGAAATGTGAAACTATGCACTTCGGGTAGTTGGTATCACCTAGCCAAGTAGTGGTCTCTTATCTGTAAACACAAAAAAATATTTACACCGACTTCATAGCGAAGCACGTTGGATGCACCACAAATTCAGTGACCGTAATCAATGGTTTAAAATGAAAACAAAACTGGCGGAATTGCACAACCAAGGGTAACTTACCATGGATAACGGAATTTGGGTATTGACCTCTTTCGTGCCAAAAGTGTTTGAAACAAAGAGTTCGGCAGCTCGTACAATATCCGAAACTTGCACGAGGCTGCTCTGGGAATTATAATATTCTTATTACTTTATAATAATTGCGACCTCAAAGTTAATAAGGAAAGCCTCAATGTTGATCCAGCTATCAGTTATAGCAATGTTTTCTTTGATGAATAAAAATGATCTTCTTTAAAAAACAAAGCAGACACTACCAATGGTCTAATCCATTAATTCAACGAAGTCTTGTGGCGAGAATACAAAGAAATACGATCCATTTGTGGAGTAACCCGAATTCAAGCGCGTTCATTCCACCACTATTGAATGGTGTTGATTCCTCATGCATGATATGTGCTTAAATGGGAAATGGGTAAAGAACATGTGTCATGGTATTTGGATGAACCCACTCTTAATCATTGTAAAGGTCGTGTCATTGTTGTTACCACTTTGTAATGCTGAAGTCAATAGTGCAGAATGCGCCTATTTCTATGTCATTGGGTTGGTGATAACTGAATTTGACTATTCAGCTACTTGCCTTTAAGGTGACGAGGTTAGTGGTGTGGTTGGTAAAATTACCGTGTCGATGTGAAAAAAAAATTAAATCATATTTTCATTCCCTTGTCTGCTACATAGGTAGGTTGAGACATTCAGTAATAGAGGTAATACTTTCTAAAAAACAATGAAATCACGAGGTCAGAACCTTGCGTTGGAAGGTTTTCAAACAAAGAATAGATCCTGGATATCTTGTGGATTATGTTCGACAACAAACCACATGTCCAGGATATGACAACCGTTTAATGAGGTAAGCCAAAGTGAAGTAGTTCTTCAAGATAGATATTTCCTTATTATTAGGTAATTACGAAATGATAATTATCCAAGCGCTTCCCAGATAGCATTAGTTTGACCTAATATCCTTACCTCCTATTTCACTCAGTTATGGTTCTGCATCAGCATTAAATTCCAACACATCATGGTGACGAGTAGTGCAAAGAGGCCATGAGTTACATGACAAGGATGCACTTTTTCCGGCGTAAAGTTATTCATTATGATATACTGGAGATGAGTAAAGCATAAGTTCCTCTTTAGATTACCGAACGTTATACCACTGACATATGTGCGGTTCGAAGGTGGAAAAAAATGTCCACGTGTGGATGTTGCTCCAACTCTCAAGAAGAGTAGTTCACATAACCTTGTCCATATTCCCCATACAAAACCGCATAACCTTGAACAATTAAAAATACAAGACGCCTTTCAATGACCGAGTCACTTTGAAATGAGCGAACTTTAGAAGCACATTTTGAAGGAATTTGCTTTGCCTTAAATGTAATAAATATTCCTGGCATAAGTTTATCAGTGCGTAGCAAAGTGCTGTCGTGCCACGTCTTGCCTGATTCATCGTCATCACCTCGGGTTAAGGTTAGAGACGCACATCGTGGGTGCCGTGTGCTCCAGTCGCACGCGCTCCATGTGCGTGGGCGGAACGCTTCATCACCATTATCAGCATCGGTAACGATGTCAACAGGCGTGACTTCTTCATGTGATGCTGCGGCGTAAAGAGTATGTACTAAAAATGATGGAATGCAGCATTAAACGACAAAGCCTAAAGACAAACTAAATACGGTATTGTGCATTTCGGTGCCTTTCGTCAGTGGTCTTGATAGTTAAGTTGGGTCTGAGATTTAACCAGACTTTTAAGACCAAAGAAACGAGTAACTTTACTTAAAAGTGATTGGACTGTCTGACATCTTAACCATGGAATTGGCCAATTTCGCACAAAATACAACAAAAGAACCTGAAATAATACTGACTGTCTTCGAAGCCAAATGCCAGATTTCATTTGCATGTTAATTCGCGACCAAGTACTGGCGGTTGCCATTCTAAAAATTTCTGAAAAGAATGAATCGGGATGTGAGTGTTCAATGCACACTTTACTCTTCATTAAAGTAACTGTTTCATCTAATGACGAAATGGGACAACACAAATAATATTGTAGGTAAGATCGACCTATTATTCATCAAAGTACCCGTTTTTGGAGGAGAATCCAGGATTCAATTGGAATATACGTTTGCTAAATTTATAGCTATGTAACCAAATTTAACCGACCATTTGTTTTACACAAACTTGGTTGCTGCACCAATGCCTTCAAAGGTGTGCGTCATTTGTAGCCATCCGCATTAGTTGCGATCTTTCCTTATTCGAGCAATGGAAATAAGACGTCTTCAAGCTATTATTCATCTAGTTCCCCCATACATAGTCCAAAACAAACAGACGGAATCGCTTACTGCTAAAAAAATGCATTCATTTCATTTTGGTAGATATCAACATATTTTGCCGTTTTGTCCCAACTATCCTAGGGTTCAAGAAGAATCACTTGTAAAATGGAGACGGTGAACCCTGAAAAAATCAATTTCATAGTCCGTAACTTGCCAGAAATGTATTCTACCTACATTATTGCGTAAGCCACATTCAAAATATCTACCTTGTTCAACACTGTGAGATAGTCTAACGATAGGTAAAGGTACGACGCGAATATAAGCAATGCGATAAAATTACCTAAATTCGTCTGTTGTAAACCACAGCCTGAGATAAAATGGTAGATTTGAGGCAATTAAGTGAAAAAAAAAAACATAATAGCTAAGATGATTGCATGAGGAAAGGGTATCTTGTCGTCCAATGCGTCATAAGCAGCACCCTTTTGTGTGCTCTGTAATGATTTCCGTTGCATGAATTAGCAGATTTTTCAAGATCTACATAGATTATCCCACTGCACCAAACTTGTAATAAGAAAGTCGCAGGTTGGATTTGCTGACTTTACACACCACTTCATTCAACTAACAAGTGCTGCAATGTCTTCAAGATTGTAGATGGGCGACTTCTCGTCTGGTCCTGAAACTCTTCGATGCAGTGGTGGTTTTAGCATATTTATACTTCTTAATCGGCCTATAACAGTTTGGTGTGCTCCTCTTATCTCTATGACAACGTTCTGTTGGATTTTGAGTTTGGAGGTGGTACCACGACTTCAGTGACATTAATTAAATTTCGCGGAAAAAGATGTATGTAAAGTGTCCCCATTGAAATATTACCAGTGATAATTAAATTGCACGGACTGTAGGCACAACTTTCCGCGAACCCCAAATTTCTACATGTTAATTGGGTTTGGCTGTCACCGGCTACACTTCTAATCCCGACATAAACTTATAAGTCAGAATGAATAATTTATTGAACCCTGGCGTTAAGTTAAAATGAAAAAGATTTACAAGAAATGTATTGTTGCGGTGTTGGTTGGCGAATGGTTCACACATCAATGGGGAGTTTGAATTTAGGAAAACTCTTGCCAAAAGCACTTTGGTTATTAAGGAAACTTAGGTGAAAACTCTATAGGAATGTTAGTTAGTTCAACCAGTGATTTAAGTCTTGACGACTTGCAAAGGGGAAAAATTTAGCATCAGTTTTTTTATCCATAGGAAGTGCAAAATAAAATTAACGAAATTTCTTATTATGGATAAGGACACGACATGCAACTGTATGGGTGGCAGGCAATTTCTAGGTGTTAACGTTACATACAGCGATTTTCTTTGAAGTTGTGTATTTGAGGTTGCGAATTGCAACGCCAACAAACAACCATCCAGACATCCACCACATTCAATTTTACACATTCAAGCTTTAACACAAGTCCTCACTTTTGCCATTAAGCAAATAAATGAACGTCTTTTTTAGTGTAAACCGTAACCCACGGAGGTTAGGTGTGCAGACGTGCAAATCCTGGTTCAAGTACTATCAACATGCTTTCCTAGCTTAATGACACTTAGATACTGTGCAAGCACCAACCAATTAATTAGGCGCTTGTTGGGCAAGCACGGTGAGACCCTAAAAGCTGGCTCATCTATAAAAAGGGTACTGTCCTTTGTTTTTTACCTCATAATTTATGGCAAGTGTATAAAGGTGACTTTAAGGGGTATGTTTGAGAGCTTCGCTGAAATAAATAAAGAGCATGAAGAACAGAAATAACTAAAATCATGACAACTCCGGGACATCCTTGGATTAGCGAAAAATGAGTTTTATTTCTGAAGAGCATGGAATTTTGAAAGCGAGTTCCTTTTAAAAAGCAGCTTTTGACGCAAAGTGGTTGCATTCCATTTAATGGTCTAAAATGGAGAGGCAAGATCTTCACCAAACGCAGGCTTAATCAACTGGTGGGTATGTTCACCCACAGAAGTGTAATTCTGAGAGTTGATGTTTAGAGCCCGAAAAATTTGCTGCGCGGCTTAATTTTATGCAAGGAATTTGTGTTAATAAGGGCTAAAATCTGTCCAAACAATCAAATGTATCACCCTACTCATCGCTGCAACATTCAATTCTTCTTAAATAAATTCGACTTTATTAGCCAGAGATATCAATGGAACCGTAGAAGTATGGCACTTAGATTTAGTGCAATGATCGAGATTTAATTCCCTACAAAATTATCGCCGCAATAACTCCAATTATAACATTCCCTCTACTTAATTGCATTAGTAAAGCGCCTACTGTGTTAGACGCGGACCAAGCATCCACGAGCACTAAGAGCTTATTTTCAGTTTTATAAGAAAAAAGAAATAAATGCCTGAATGGAATGGCTCAAGAAGGACAAAACAGAGTCTCACCATTTTTAGCTAAGGTACGCAATTCCATCATGCTATTACTTATTAGAACACCAAAGGTCCAAGAAGACGAACGTGCACTGCTCTATAAATAAAACAATATGTTTTGCAACTCAATGTAGCATTAATTATTATTTACCCGAGGTGTTTAGACCAGATCATGTCATAATCTGGACATAAATAAACATACCTTTCAACAAAAAGAAAATATTCAAGAAAATTACAAACGTCTTCTTTGCTGTAGGGCTAAATCACAGCCAATGCCTTAATTTCTAGAAATTACAGTCTTAATACATTAAAGGGTCTCATCATTGCGTTCAGTTGCAATCCACAGATGAATTTTTAGTGTACGTGAAAGATAATCTGAAATTGATGCGTGTTGGAGCCCAAAGGGCAATACATGGTTCTCCTTAAAGGGAACAACGTCCACTCGGCATCCGCTTTTATAGCATGCCAATACACCTGATGAGCTGCTTGAAACCTGCGATTAAAATTACTCAGGTTTAATCCCCTTCGTGTTTAGGATGTTTGTTCTAGAAGGGAAAGTACGGTCAATTTTCTGGAAGATTTTTTTTGTTTCGAAGAAAGATTTTGGGAGCGTTAAATTGACGTGTGTACCCGTTGTCCTCAGGAATAGCAACATATTTAATGGAAGTTAATGTGATGCGTTAGCATGCCAATAAGGAGCTCTCTTTCACCTGGTAGAGCGCCGTTTTCTGAAGTTATTAATTATCACCGAGGACAAGTTTTAAGATATTTATTGAAAACGTCAGGTTGTAATTCATTTATAATTCATTGACATTTTGGTTAGGTAATGGTGCAACTATCTGCATGAAACATGAGATTCAATACAAGAACCTTTGTAACTGCACTATATTTAGGTGTTAACATTCCAACTTCAGTAGATATTGAGTAAAGCAGTAAATGTTAGGACAGATACAGGAGGCTATGATTGAATGTGCTGTTTCATTGAATATATGTGAAGCCAAACTTTTTAAGGAAGTGATGTGCATCCACAAGGCGTGGATAAGTGTATGTTATATGCATTGCTAAGTATGCGAATCATGTCTACGGGTTGTTCTTCACATGGCACTGCATTAAATCAGTCAAAAATCCCTTCGAAGTGGAAAATAATGTCAAGATCAGGCTAAAATTTGGGATACTTTACGAATTTTGAAGTCCTAACTCATTTGATGGGCGAGAAATAAACCTAAAACACTGCCGATTCTTCAGGGCAAAGTTATGATCTTGAGACAAATTTTTCAGAGGAAGACAGCCTTCATGTAGACATCCAAGTATTGCCAGAACCATTCGGACCTCAGTTAATGGCACTTGTCGGTTCAGTCAGGGCAAGGTAGGTGGTGTCCGAAACGTCGTCGTTATTCGCACCAAGCCAGATGTTTGATCAACTCCCCTGTCAAGACAAATGTCCTTTCAAGTAGGCACATTATGGTTACTTGAATTTATTTAAACTTTACTAGAAGAAAAATATTATTAATCTAAAGTTTGCTAATATCTTAAATTCAAGGCTAAAATGTCAAGTTCTCTTAAAAATTGATGAGACACATTTTGTAGCTTTAATAGCTAAGACGACATTTTTTAAATACACGGTCTTATGATTAAATACAATATGACGTTTTTCTCTCGGTTAGGGTAACGCTGGCTTCGAAGTGTTCTTCGTGAAAGGTGTGAGCCCTTCCCCTTGATCGGGTGGAAAAGCTTGCATAATGAAGTTTGCCGAAAATATCAAAGCCTTCATAGAAAATGACCACATATCATTGTATTATACGTGAGAGCACTGTACGGCCAGGAGGACGATAGATGTTAGACTTTAATCTATCAGATAAAGTATCTGTGGTTAAGTGGCAGCGCCCTATCTCATGCGAGATGTCGACTTGTACATTGCATGCCGAATTTGTGGCTCAACTTGCACCAATTCATACTTCAACCAGATATTAAATATAGCCAAAGCATTTTATGCAACGTTTACTTTCGTCACATAATTTCCTGCAGTCAATTAACATTAAAACAGTGAAGGAAGGTCAGTTACGTGCTTCGGTGTCGCACGGGTTGCATTGGCAGTCGTCACCTCGTTGGCGTTCTCGCAGTCGCTCACGAATTCCAGCCGCAATGCGGTGAACTGCATCATTTTACAGGCGTTTACTTCTTCGAGGAGGCAAAAGTATCAGATTTAGGGGATTTTCTTTTAGAATTAAGAGACAGAAAAGTGCTAATGGCATTTATTTAGCATTCAAGTTATTATCGCTATAAATTTATTATTCGTTTTACTGTTCGGTGGCGGCATTCGGCGAAACAAAAACAACATTTTTGAAACTTTGAATAAAAATGTATTGAGTTTTTAATTTTCCATATTATACATTTTAAATGAACGACTAAGAAAAGAGAACTTATTAAAACCGCAATCATTTAAAAACTATCAACACTTCTCGAAAAAATTAAAACATGTAACGTAGTTGCCTTTTGCATGTATTCATTTGATATTTAGATGCAAAGAAAATCCTTCAATATTGTAAAACGTTAATTCTTGGTTTCGGTAACGAGCCACTGAAAGGCTCTACCACTGTACCTCCGCCGGGTGGCCTAATCTCCGAGCCATGGCAGCAGCCTTATACCCTTTCGTAAGTTGAAAATTCATAATCAGCCCGAGTATTGTGTCTTAAATCGTCTCCAAGAGAGTCTCAGCGAGCTGCAATTTTTTGATTTCCGGATTCTGTCATCTTGATGGAATAAGTACTTCTCATCATCAATTTTAAATGCGTACTTGCCTAGGTAACAAGCTGATATTAAAGAAAATAAGGTTTCATTTACGCCAAAATAAGGACAGTATGTGTGTAACTGGTTGATTCAGTATGGCAGTAGTAAACTAGTCACATAAATGTCATAATTATGCGAACACACAATTTAGACCTTATCAACCAACATTTTTTAAAGACCACTCTACTTTGTTATTGATACATAACTTTAATAATTACCTCCATATAGGTACCCATCACACGCAAGATTCGCAAATTTATGACGGTATGCCTGATTTTACTATTTTTTTCGATTCCCGACACAATACAACTTATCAAATAGGTCATTCAAATGCAAAGGCTTACAAAGTTGAACAATTAAACAAATTAACTGCATAGTTTCACCGGACCCGCCCATCACCGTACGACACCACGATCCGACTAACGCGGTGTTCGAAAAAATTTTGCGAGGCGAAATTCCTGATGCTGATGGTTGGTACTGGTTCTCCCCTTTTTGAAGCGGTAAAGGTAGAGACTATAGTCTGAGGGGAAAACATGAAGAAACAATCGGTAGTAATCACTGATAGCCTAAGGATGCTTGTGAAGCAAAGCTCCACACGCAAAGTCTGAATGGAGGGGAGTTGATAGTACCTTCGGCAGATTGAGTTTCCCTTCGATTAACGATTGAGTATAATACAAGGAACCATTGCTTCACTCCATTACATGCCGTTTAATTCACCTGGCGATAAAGTTTTCTTTGAAATTGGGAGTGGCTGTTGGCTGCTACGATGACAAACAACTAGTTGATTTTAATTTTTTATCATTGTAAATTATAAACCGTTTTGAGCAGTAACTGCTTATATTCCATAAAGGCTTCGGTTTTCAATACTCTTGTAAAATACATCAAGGAGACTTTACCTTTATACATTTTATACATTGGCTCCTTTCAACTCAACGGCCAAATGTATTCAAAACAATGGTCTTTTGCTCTTGAAACGGCAGTTATTTATCATTACTTTTGTTACCTGATATTCTGGCCACCTAAAACCAACGAAATGGGTGGAAGCACGCTTGTTAGCTCCGTAAAGTAAGGCGAAACAAAGCAAACGAAAGGTGTGATCTTGTCAAGATAAATAAGTCCATTTTTGTAACCAGTCCCTCCTTAGAACTGAAGGCGTTAAAATTTCGAATCAGGCGCGTTCCCTCAATGAAAAATGTGATGACATACCTCTAACATTCATTCTAAAAGGTGGAATAACGGCCCCTAATTGTAGAAAATTTTTGCATAATAAAGAAGTCAAAATAACATTGCCAACTTTTTCCCCAAAATCTCAACAATAGTTTGAGTTCGCCAACCCATACTTACGTTTTTGTGTACATTCGACCACAAGGACCCATTCTGGTAGGTTATACTTCGCTAGGCGACATACCTCTCTGGTCACGCCATGCAGCCACTCAGTCCTTCTGCTCTGTAACAATCAATCCCCTTCTATACGACTTAGAGGAAGACTCAGGAAGAGGTTCCATATACTCTCGAGGCAATTTCCGGGATGCATTATTTAAAAATACAAGAGGTCAAATGGCTATGAAGTCATTTGTTTGTGCTATTATAAATTGTCATCGGTATTTGTCAATTCTTACAATACAAATTAACGTAAAATTCTGGTACTCTTGCTGTCGATCGGTTATTTATGGGACCAAGGACGATGGACACGATTACTTGATTTATCGCTCCGTTAAAGCCCTGCAGGCTCACGCGAGCTTCAAAACAATTCTACAACTGCATTTATGCAAAATTCGGGTAAAATGCACGATTTCGGTTGAGTGCCTATTCAAATCACTTAATGTTACGTTCAAAAGGGAATGCTTGGAGTAAAACTGAAGTCTTTTTTGAAAATTGACTCAATTTTTATAATGCACAAGTCACTTTGCACTTTATTCGAATAACAGGACATTAACTTTGCTGTCACTCCCTTCAAGTGGAGCCATGACAGGTATAAGCCTTTAAACCGCGGACATATGACATGAACCCGAGGTTTTAACCATTAATTCTCACCTGCCAACAACCTCGTAAAACCGCTAATATTTTTATCATAAGGGTAGACGAATTTACGATATCCTGACAAAGATGCCGTTTCAAACATATCACACACTCAAGAACCTGACCATATGAGTGGTGACCTTATCACAGTCGCGAATTCGATTTGGTCATGGTTTGTAAAAAGTGGCAAATTCTTTCACTTGGAGTATGACTGATTCTTCAAGGAATGGAGAGAGGAAGGGGATTTAAATAAACTCAGGTAAAATATTCAAGACTCTAATAGGATAAAGTAATGACTACGCACTTAGTACCGTGGAATGCTTTGGTTTAATAAAATAAATGTGTCAGAGTGCACGTTGGCACAAGAGATCATGAACAAATATTTGAAGGCGGGTAGAGCGACTACTGAACGGCACATATAAACCTTATGGATTTATAATTAATGCATATACACGTTGATGCGGTTCATGTACTTCAGCTCCCCCTAATTTGAAGGGAGACACGTTAAATGGTCGTGTGTAAACACCCAAGAGCGTCCGAAATGTTGGGATCCTGTAGGTGGAACATAAAAAGAATCTCAGTTAAGATTCCCGAAAATCGTCAAAGGCTTGACTTTTTATACTGAGCAGTCATTCAGCTGCAAAAGTAAACGAATGCAGTCCTACCCATTGGAATGGTCGTCACTACTTTTTAACGACAGGTGCGTCCAACAACAAAGACTACTCGCATGCTACTTTTGTGGGTAAGGCCGAAGTTCGGCTGGGCTGAGAGAGCGCCTTTGTGAAAACGCCTACAAGTGCACTGTTCAAAACTAGGCAACTTTAACTAGTCAGCGGCGTAAAGCGTTTGAAACTAATTAAAACTACTTCAGATTAATTTAAGAATGCCCTTATGTCAAACACTAGTAATAGAATAATCAAATTTTAGTGCGGGCTCTAAAAAACGTAATATGTGGAGTTCATAAAACAAAGTGGACTTCAAGAATGGTTGGCAGCTTACATTTTGACAAGCTTCTAAGAATTCTTCTCGACTTATGACACCATCCTGATTTATATCCAGTTTCTACAAAAACAGAAATAAAAATACGGCTATTAATGTGAAATAACTTTGAAATGACGGAAAGTTTTTTCTGCATTTTGGTAAGAAATGTATCTGCTAACAAACAGGTAAGGATTTTTCACACCAGAGCAATACAAGACTATCAGTACTTTTGGAAATAGTAAAGGGACTATTGTTATTAAGTTGTCGACAGATTTGCATCCAGTGGCGCACATTCATCAATACAGTGCACAGACTGTCAAATCAAACCGCGTCGATTGTAAAGGGACGAAAATGTGCCAAGAAAGCACGGAACTCACGTTGAACACGGACTCCATGTGTTCCCTCACCGACGCCTCTTCGTAGGGAGGGTCTGTGTGTTTGCCGAGCAGGTCGTAAATGGACTGGACTACCTTCAGCATCTCGGTCTTGTCGATTACGCCATCGCCCTCTGTGTCGTAGAGTTGGAATATCCACATCAATTTGGACGCCGATGAACCGTGAATTAACGAGGACAGAAAACGCACCAATTGCTATAGTGTGAAGTACAAAGAGGTTGAAAATGCTTGCTTCCGTTGCATACGTCCTCCTGTCAACAAGATTTCGAGGAACTATGTATACACAGTTGGGAAATTTGTGTGACATTTAAGGAGTTTAAAAGAATCGCTTAGTCCTTTAATTACACACCGTGGTGGCGAGGCAGCAAACATTGTTATAATGAAATAGGCAGAATGGTAACAAATCGTTTTAAGAAGTTCTTGCTACTAATTTTAATTTCGCATGTTCTAGAGTACAATATCTATGCAAAATGGCGAGTTCCTTCATTTTTTAGTAGGTGTTTTACCAATTCACATAATTAAAACACGGGATATCCGACTCATTTGGGGACTTGGAGTTTTACAAAGCGTGTGCATTATGCATTTATTTGTCAGAGAAATCGCATTATGGGATTAGCGTCTCTCTGAGGAATAAAATATCAGTGGGAGAATTACTAGACTTTCTAAACTACCTGATTATCATCTGAACCAAAATTGCCCAGCCAATTTAACTCGATCATCAGGTGAAGATTCGTTTAGCGATACATTTGGCGTACCGGCACTGAGATACTAATCAAGATTTTCTATATTTTGCAGTGCAGAGGAGTAGACAATTAATGGAATTACGAAAGGGAAGCGTTTGCGAAAACACTCCCATTGTTTTCCCAAAGACGCATTTCACAGGGGCTTAACGAACACATCATTGTGATGCGTGATTCCTCTCCTAGTTCAGATGTATTTTGACCTTACCGTCAGTAACAATGGAAACCAGTTTTTAAAGCTAGGAAAGCTAAGAGTTGGAAATGAATGAGACTTAATTATTGGCCTTGTTTGGTAAAGTCTAATAGCAAAATACCTTTTGTGGCATGCTGGGACTAATTGGTTGATGTTTCTGCAAATATAGTATCGGGATCTAGCGCCATCCAACAGATAATAAGTGCTTTATAATGTTACGAATAAGGCGTGCCAAATGGTAGCATACCTCAAAAGTTATTTTCCCCTGGTTAGAGTTGGCGAATGTCCTGAACACAAAATGAGCATACATGTTGGCGTCTGAAATGGGTAAGAGATTGACCAGTTCACTCACCAACAATAATTCACATCAGGCTATTAATAAAGGCAGATTATTTGCACAATCATCAGAACAAGAAATGAGTTTGCCTATCGAGACTTTGGACAATTATAATTAGCCGTAATTTTGTTTTAAAATGCATGTTGCTAAACCGTTATGAAAATCTCCTGGTAAAATTAGCATCCACGTTCCCATAAGACGATCAAAGGCTTGAAACAAGTAGAGATATTTAAATCTCGAACCACGAGAATGCGATAACAAGCATATTAACTATTTTTCTTAAAAGGGAAAGGGGATCGAATATCGCGGCTTACATCTAAAAATTGTGTCAAAAACGTTTTCCTTAGATGTACACCCTTTGATTAGCTGCCAGGCGGGATGCAAACTTTGCAAGGAGCAAAGTAGAACCGTAAAACGACACGTTTAAACTATAATTTTCCACACTAGTCCAAAAAGTAATATTCACAACTAATCAGAAAGCAGCACTTTTTTACAATCGAAGAAATGCACTTTTGGCCAAAATCCACTAAAACTGGCATTGCCAACAGGAAATATGAAGAAAGGTGGCAGCATGCAGCAGTGCCGATACGCCAGAATTACTTAGTTATGACACAATTTGAGAAGCATAATTTACAACACACACATCGCAAGCATTGCCTTGAACCGATTAAAGTCCGTTCGCCAGCAAATTAATCAAGGAGCAAAGACGTGTCAGCGCTATATAATAAATATTACAAATCTTACCTCCTTGTGGAAAAAACTTTCCATATATCAGCTTGAAAATATCCTCTGTAAGGTAGCCCGATGGACAATCCTAAGAAAAGAATACTTTGTCATTTACGATGCATTAATTAATAATTTAAATTAATATAGACCGCAGCAATTGTTTTCTGAATGGGTGTTAGCGTAACCACCACTAATCTACGTCTGCAAATAAGTCATGCTATCCGGACCAGTCAGTATACACTTTAAATTTATTACGGTGCATATTTGAAGCCCTGCTTTCCTTCCTTCGTCAGCCAAATATAGGCGCATAAAAATGCAGGCCTAGTAAGGAAGTTTTGGGATTCTCAGTGCGCGCATTCCGTGGCAAGTCCTACCTTCGGCAGGACTTCATAAATTAGTCCAAAACGGTGTGGCTGATAAAAAATCGGCGAAACAGTGGTACCTTGTACCAAAGAAAATGGTTTAACACTCTCACATTCACATTATGGGCGTGTATCGCAAGTCATTTCATACGCCCGTCCGTCTCAACAAGCGCCTACATGCCTCCTTTCTTGTAAGGCAGAGATAGGACACAGAAAATCGGTTCCGCGCGTAACCTTATGTGGATGATATGATAACTGCCGCGGTCGTGACTTAAAAATACGACATCTAGTTAAAAATTCGCCTCGCTCTTTACCAAAAGGAAACAATGTCTTTAACTGGCGCGCCTTTGCCCAGAAGTCAGCCTCAATGTGTTAATGCATTCTAACAAAAAAAACTCTGATCATGGTAAATATGTCATCAAAACTTAAAATGACCAGTTTAATAAATCACTTCCATAGTTATTTGTCCGGATAACTTATTCGGCCCTCTACATTGAAATTGATATAAAGGGTCAAAATTGCATGCACGGGGGGATATGCCGAACCAAGCATAGTATGATCAGATTTTTTTTGTGCCACATTTTGATTATACAATGTTTATTATCAAATTTTTGAACAACTAAGTAATTTTTTAATGCTCATCCACACACATAGCATTATAGAAAAGCCATCTGTGCAAAAGGGAACAGATTGTAGTTGATCAAGTGGCTATGGAATTGCACCGCCAACTATATTTACATTGACGATAAATATACCGTATGTAAAAAGCAGAAGTGGAATATGGTTAATAGATAGGTAGAGACGCCAATTGTGAATGACTGGAGTACTCTACAAAGCGTCTCCACTTTGCCATGAGGTTTCACGAAATGTTTGCACCTCAGCTCATGATGTTGATGTTTTTGGCACCCGAATTCGTATATTTATAGCTCCACAGACGCACATCTTCTCAAACATTAAGTAAAAAGATCAAAGTAATTATGTGACTGAATATTAGCATGTCGAGTAAGAATGGACAAAGTGCAGATCGTTCGTGGAGTCTAGAAGCTCAACAGCTGCATGCTTTGTGTGTTCGCAGAGGCATTAAAAATATTTTGGTCCCTAGGATGCAACAGACTCACAATGTTATAAATATTTAAAGATCTTTTCATATAATATACTATTAATAAATTCACAAACCTCTTTGAAACCACGATATATTATTTGTAATTCTCTCCGTGAAAACTGTGTACTCTTAAGTAGAGTTTGGATGGAGACTGGTTTTTGATGAAAGTAAGTCGTCTCAATTGCGTCGAAATCAGCGTCTGAAAGAACAAAGCAAACGAAGATTAAACGATACTATCTGCGATTATTCACTCGCAGTAGACTTCAAAGCCAGCAAGAGCTTCAAAAGTCCGAAGCTATTATTTACTCGGGCTTTGAGCAGTTGATATGTTATGGCAGTGTGAGGGTAGAGTGAAAACACACTCCAGTTTTTTAAATAGGGATCTCGATTACAGGCCTAGTTCTACGCAAAACTACAAATCGCCAACTCCTATTTACAGCAAATGTTTATTTTTTGGAAGTTCACCAAATTGATGCACGCTGTTACCGAAGATTTTATGACTGGTTTCTTGGCCGAATAATAAAATGCGACCATTCGTTTTAATTATTTATAGCCAATTCAACGATACCGTGACTTACGTCCAGCAAAGTCCAAGACGAAAATAAGGGCATCGTGGCTTATGTGATTGTTACTGCTTGTAAGATTAAAAAACTAGTCGCAAAATCTGCCACAAACGCAAAATAAATGTCGATTGGGGAGCTGAAATATAGCTTGCGTTTTGCCTAAAACATAAATTGCTAGGTAATTTTCGAAACCGGTGAGTTAATAACTCTGGAAGAAAGAAATGATCTTGAATACATATGTGAAGGGGGATTATGTAGTCTTATCTGGTGATAAACTACGTGCATTCCACGGCGAGATTTGGTTTTTTATTTTGAATTGCAAAGGGTCAAATAGATCATGTAAGGTTACCGCTGTTGTACCAAAGTTTTTACTAGTTCTGTCTGTCCACCGAGAAAGAGCCGCTTTGAATCCCCTCCTGATTGCAAATGGCATAGCTAAATCCTCTGAGAAAGGTGTGCTTCCTTGGCACTGATTGTGTCCACAATGCATACGACTTCAGTTCATGCCTAACAGGAACAGCGGTTTTGCGCATCTTATCCCGGGGAATGCAGCCAATAGGAACAAACCTATTTACGGAGAGCCAATAGGAAACCAGTGTTCTATGAAACCTGCACTTTTGTGGATCTAGAAGTTAATAGGTTGTAAATATTCATATGCGATCGGAACATGCTAAAGAAGGCTCAGTTGTTGCGCTACGTAGGGTGTGTTCAATAAAAACTGAATTGCATTAGATTCCTACGGATAATTCTGAGTAATTGAATAACATGATGGAGGTCTAAACGCAAGCACTAGTTATCTGATTTGTTGGATCTCATTTTAATAAATCAACTTATCAAATAAATAAGATTTAAGCGGTTACATAATTAAAATCCAGCAATAAAATATGTTGACCTCATCCACAACATAAAGTTGTGGCATGGTGGAAGTAGCACGTTAAGCTGCCTCATTCTCAAAATTTCTCAAAAATGGAAAGGGCCCAAGACGGTAAACTTATAGAGTTCAAAAGTGGCATGCTTTTAAAGCTTTCGTGTAAGCAGGTTTATGCGCTGCTACTGATGTATTAAGAGTAGCATAATTTTGGGCAATAATTAATAAAAAGGAACAAATTAATAAAGACATTGGGAGAAGTACGGCATCCATTTATTACTACCAGTACTTGAATGCTGTAAAAAAAAGCGCTGTATAAGTGCAAATGTAACTCGAACATTTATCTTTGTGGTTTTCAGTTTTCTGAAGTTTTGGCACCATTTCTCTTCACTCTTGCGTTCAAATCCTATCATTTTTTAGAACCTGCAACGCTTTTTATTCTTATTATGCAAAAATACCATCTTCACAGGAGAATATGCAATTGTTATAAAAAAGTATCTTCTTGGGAAACCTTTTGATTCCGTTTTTAAAGAGTTTAGTGCGTATTGGATAAGTAAACACCCATACAGCATCACGTAATTAAAATGTAATACCTTTTTCCGGAACCCGTGGGTGAATCTAATTACAAAATTTGTGGTAAAGAGCAAGCATATTCCAATATAGGTGTTAAGTGACGTGAATATATCAACACCGTCCCAGTAATCTCTGATACAGTTTAATTCCGTAAATACCAGTCACAAGTAATCACTAGATCAGAAGCATCGTTGGTGCGTGTGAAGAATTTAAAAGCATCAGTGAGTTAAAGAAAATGAAAAGAGATGGCGTGCCGCAGCCGAAAACGGATGTGATCGTGAGTTCCGGAAGAGCAGAGGGCGTGTTGAGGTGGCCATGGCTACAGAGCGGAAGCCGCCTCGTGCATTTCATGGTAGAAAGGAAATCTGCGGACCTCCGTTTTAGCAAACTGAAAAAAACTAGTCCTTTCTCCATAAAGTAAATTGGGGCTTAGGAGAAGTTTTTGCATATTTTGGGGTGAAAACCGTTCCCAAGTGCGTCTATCAAGGGAAATAGGTGCTGATGCAATCCACTGCACCGGTTTTAAAAACTTTGCAAACGTCACTCAGGGTTTTGATGACCCACCTTAGAAAGTCCAACTCTTCAGCTGTAATAAGGTCATTCTCCACACTAATAAGATAAAATATGGCTAGTATTTATGCATTTTCTAAGTGAATGTTAAAAACCGTAATCATTTCTGCGAACTAGTTAACGGCATCCCACTGATGTAACTCCTCCATGTAGGTTTTAGAGATTTCATGAAATCCTCGAAGGTTATTGAAAAGTTGATGGACGTTGGCTTTGCAAGTGGTTAAATTCAATAAATGCTTTACAGGCTACTACTTCATACGAATACAAATATGACTCTTACATGCGGTCTTCTTAATGCTACCCCATGAGTGTTGGCTAAAAACAAGTCGTACTTTTGTCCTCATTAAAGACATACGTAGTAAATCATTAAAATGACACTCGTTTTATTTTTGTAAGTGTCGTGCGCAACGATAATGCTAAAGGTTTGCTAATCTTACTGGTATAACTTTTAAGGGCACGGGGCACAGATGCTTTTGCTAACACGCCAATTATAAAAAGGCGTAGTTTACTAAACAGAAAATAAACTTATCCTGATAGCCCTTCGGAAGCCTAAAAATTGAAAAAGGACATTTCGAAAAGCGAGAATTTTGCAGCATGAGAGATCTCATTTCGCAATTCATGCTTGTAAACCTGAACTTTTACCCCCCCCCCCTTGGTTGTTGGAAGTGTGTAGCAGAGCAGCGACTAAGTTCTCAGAATTATGGATAATTTTGTGCATAAAGCCAAGGAGTTTTAGTGCTTCATAATGAATCGGGAACTCTTTTCGATTCATGAATAAAAAGGGAGACGGCGTTTGATACCTTTTCTTAGTTTACTCATCAGCTGAAACATTTCCATGAGTCTAAGAACGCGAAATGGCTTTGTCAACATTCCAACCCACTTAGCAGGACTTTTAGAGCAAATATTTGTTATTTATAATGGAGAACCATGTCTTTGTTAAGCCCATATTGACTTACTATGGAATAGTGATGTGGCCGCGATTAGTGGTAAAAGTAAGGGCAATGAACTTACGCATGTGCTTGTTTGGTGCGAAAATTTCGTGATTTTAGCCACAAATCAGGCTGTCATGGGGATCAAAAGAAAGCAGTAATACTGAATAGCAAATGCAATCATTGAGTAGATATTAGATTTGTAAAAATATGATAGAAACCCTCAGTTGGATTTCAGCTAGAATTGCCATGCGATTTGACGGTGATTGAGGTGATATAACTAATAATGCATCTGACACCTTAAAGGAACTATAAAGGCACTCCCACGAGTTCATTCAGATGTGTTCCTTAAATCGAGGAATTTCATACAACTGAAGTGCGAGTTTTTCTGTAATTCACTGCTGAACTTGGTTTTATTGGTGGTATTTATCAACGACAAAACATCAAGTGCGGTGTACGGCCTGCAAAAGCAAATTTATAAGCTTTACACGAAATGTAGAAACTGGCCTACCTCTACATAAAGCCTTCATCTAAATTTAAGTAGGATTTGAAGTTGTTAGACTAATTGTGATGCCATATGTGTAATATTCTAATCGAGATTAGCCTGATATGACTTGAAGTAACGTGTGATTTGTGAATGACACACCGCATTGGCCTCTTCATATTTTCTGCATTGAATATCTTCTTCTGTGGTGTCAAGGTATCCGAAAATTAAAAAAACTTACCGTCATACAAAGAGTTAGATTGGTGTTTAAGGGTAAATAGCATATCCGTTGTGTGTTTATGCGAATATAATAATTTCTAGTTATAAAATTCAGTATCTATTTCAGGAAAAGGTGAATATGTCGTTTCACTCCATGCGTTTAAATATACGTATTTTGGTAGGCTGACTCCTGGTTTAGTAACTCATGTTTTGTTATATAGGTATTTTTGTATACATCTTTTCAAGATGCCACCGCAAATTCATTTAAAATTACACCACCACTTAGCAACTGGAAGCTCCTTTGATGCGTCCCAGCAGAGTGTAAGGAGCCGTTTTTACAAGGTGGATAAAAAGTAAGCCGTGGGTCTTGTAGAGACTTTTATGGTACTGGATGCAACAGCGTATTCAAAAATTAATGAAGGCAGCTCTAGTTTATTTTCTGCAAAGCACGAGAGGATGAATTTTGCATGGTCTCACTGACGTGCACGACACCGGTGACGACGGTTAAAATGCTGAGGGTGATAGAGAAAAGAGACCAAATTTCTTGCCAATTGAGCGACCTTTGCATCAATTTCTTTGAACAGTAGTGGCTACTTGTTGATTTCCTTGATAGATTTAGGTAGGCCCTGGAATGTGGATCAGTGGCCGCTACTAAGACGAAGTTGTACATTTATGGGAAACTCAATGCTGGAACTGGCTAAATGACCAAGGTTTTGAAATGGGCATAACGACTATTAGGGAATAAAGGCGAATATACATTTAATGCCTGTGGAAACAAATTCATTTGGACATTTGAAGCCTCCGTGTTTGATGTCGCACGAAAATATGATTTGGTTAATCACCATATTGCAGTCTACGTGAATTCAGAGCAGTATTTCATTGCTAGCAAGTTCTGAGCGAAGTAGCAGGCTGACCAGAAGTAAAATGAAGCTATTTTCTGGAAAGTGCAAATATATTCAATCCATTTCACTTAGAGCCTCTCCAAATAGAGCCTGTATTTCCCTATATAAGCACTAAGGGTAAATGTTATTTTATGAATTCCGAGTATTTGATAAAAGTGGTGGAGTATAGGAGTTATAAGTAAGAATTTTAGTTATGCTTCACAATCGAATTTATGCATTACTGTTTTAATATCGGCCTTTTGAAATAGGCAAGAAGAAGCTTTAAGTATCAGTTAAACAGCAATGAGGAGCTCCGTAATGACATTTAGTTGGTTAATATTGCAATCTCTACAGTGGCCACCTAGAGTTATAGCGAACTGAGATCCACTTCGTAGTTCCCTGAATTACAATTTGAAACACTATACCGGACAAAATTCTCGTCAAAACTCTTATGCAATGGAAAGTCATATACCAAAAGCGCCCAAATTCAAAATAGGAAAGAGGCAAATCTCGGAATCTCAGAAAGGTTGGGTGCACGTCCATTACCTAACCCTGGAGCAGATTGCACATTCCAGATATGCGGTTTTGGATTGCTGACCACAAGCAAAGTGGTTTTCCTAACTTGCCTTGAAAACTACAACCTAATCCCAAGGAATAATGGGACTCCATAACGCCGTTTGAAGAAGATTTGATCCTATTTCATTTCTATCGTTTATCAATTTATTTGCATGGCAGAAAATTTGCAGCTGTATTCTAAAACGAATGCAAGATTATAAATGGGCTCTTTGTGTGGCAAGTGGCTCTTTGTCCATTATTTTTTTCCTTAAAAGGGGAAAACTTCCGCCAACTTTATCAAAAAAAAGAACATTTCCCATAAAATCTCCTTCCTGAGATATTTCCCATTGAATGCAATGATCGCAATCTCGACAAACGGAAAGAAATGCATTTTTAGTAGAAGTTCTGCTATGTAGACCTACACCCAAAGGAAGTTTAAATCGTGCAAAGCTTTAAAATGCAATAGTAAATCAGCAAGTAAAGGAAAGTTTTGTCTGGTTACTAATGTGCTTCTATTTATTGGGTGACCAAAATTGAGGTATACGAAAAAAGACCTTGACATTCTCAGTATCGACTTTGATGTGATCAAAATTCCAATCTTACAGAAATATTGTTTTAAACTCAAGCAGACGTTTGTTTGGAGCTTCAATGAGGATGATGCGCACTTTGTTAATGCTTATAAGCTCGTCAAATAAAACGGTAGAGAAATGTCCCGACCTCTACACTTTTAAATAATGCTTTGACAAAAGTGACATTGCCTACGGTTTTACGTCTAAAAATGTGCTAGTGGAAAAATATGAGACCTAATGAATAAAAGTTAGAAGAAACTACGCATTTATTTAAACCCAGTATCTAATTTCTATTTGGATGCAATCATCCAAAATGAGGAAAATCTCTACTATCAAAAGCATTCCTTCGAAATAGTTTGGTAATGCAAATCATTTCAGCAAAGCAATAATCTAAAGTAGTCCCAGCCTGACGAAGTACACGGTGGACCGATACTCACCCATTTTCACTGCGGCGACAAAACCGCGTCTCGCTGCAGGTTCTACTTGAAGTCAGCGGAAGCGGATCACACTTCTGCGTGAAATGCTGCTGCTTCCCTCGTTTGTTCGTTCGCTAGCTCGCCCAGTTGAGGGGCATGCATAAATACGGTGGGTGGATGGGGAATTCCAGCGCGGACAGAAGGCGCATGCCAGCCCGCGCTCGGTGCGCACCCTCCACTTGCCCACGCGCGCGCGCGCAAACGGGCCACCGGTGGGACGGACAGGCGGCCTTGAGGTGCTGCGTGCTGCAAAAGTGGACAGACAGGCGGGCCTAGCCAAAACGCTGCCTCCGAAATTGCACAACTCGTCGTCCCTGAGAGTTTACCCATCAACACATGCGGTGCAAAATTGATGCAGCTCTTAGTCGTGAACAAAACATTATCGGAGAATTTTTAAAATGTAACAGTTTTAAGACTGTATTGTTGAGATGGCTACGTTTCGTGCAGTCGAAACTCATTTGAAGTTATTAGGAACTCATACTTCGCTAGATTTGTAATCACAAAAAATTGTTTGCAACAAACCTGTTGGGAAGCCTTGGGCACACGGTGATAGGTATGTTTTTTTGCTGAAAATAATATTTACGGTTCCTACCTAGTTATTCACACGTGCTCATTAGGAAATAATTAAACCAGCTTTACTTTCTCTGATTATTCGACAACTTTTTCTTCACACAAAACACAAAATGCATAGACTTTCCAGAAGTTGCAATACATTCTTGCTGCATGTGAAGGGACGTAACGTTGAGCCTGTCAAAATGTTTGGCCTCTTGGCCAACAGATGGTTTGCTTGCTGAACGTCGGGGAGGTCATGCGAATTCTGAAAATTGACGTTTTCCTCTGACCTGAATGTTGGGGCATTCCTATGCAGCACCTGACTTGACGCGCTGCTTGCACCAAATAATTGCGCATGACATGATTTGCTGGGCATCGCCACCATGTCGCGCATTCAACGGACCGAGCAGTCGTTGAATTAGATATACAGAGTGCAACATCTCGTCAACAAGTAGTTAGATTAACGTACCTTTTTAGTAAAGGAAACTCCCCTAGATCTTAGTCGGAAGTACCAATATCAGTCAAGAAGTCATGGTTTTAAAACTTATGACTGAGTTAATAAGTTTTTTTAATGAGCAATTAGTTGTACCAAATGGTTATGCTGAAGTGCATAGGCGAATTTTCATTCGACTATTTGTAACTAATATAAGTGGGCAATACAAAATGAAGCATTCGCCAGTTGCCATTTTTAATCGCTCATCTAACACATATTAGACAGCCTACTAGAAGGTCCAGCCGACGTTGGATTTGGAAAAATCAAATGCTTCTGCACTTCCGAAGAGCTATTAGCCTGAAGCAACGATTCATTCATCTAAGTTAAAATCATGCATTTTCCATATGATTATTGTTAAAATGCAAACGCGCACTTTCCTACAAATCCACCACAGGTACTAAATTGGAGCGAGGGGAAACCAAACTGGATGAAGCAATTGATAACGATGATGTTGACAGCAAATTCTTTTAAAGTGAAGCCTTTAGTAGGCGACAGTTGGAGAAACTGACCACCGGTTGCTAAGTTACTCCAAAAGAACTGAAAAATAACCATAAACACCCACGTCACTTTAGTTTGTTTTATGCTGGAAACTCCGTTCTCCGTGCCTGCCATTGATGGGTTTCCTGGTGGAGGGAAGCGCACCAACGAACATGCTCTTTCGCGGGCATTGCGACTCTTGCTTCCTTTTAAAATAGATTTCTTCAAAACTAGATTTAAGGCTTTCTATGAGTATTACAATCGACAAAGTAAAGCACATGTAAATTGGCTAAAATAATTTACAAATACGGCTACGAATTTTTATGCCGTACTTCACAACAAAAGCCTTTTTTAATTTTACCCACTTTTCTATACATTCCCATTATATTGCTACATATGATGTAGTTGATACACTTTCTTGAGGTATTTAGACAAAGTGGCCATGACCATAAGTTTGCATAAAAAGCGTTCATTCATTAAGAAGTGAAGCATGGAGATCTCATATTATGCTTTACTATCTCCCCAGCTAAATCCCACATAAATGTTCTAACATGAAACCAAACTTTTCTACTTTAATGCAATTAATGGGAAGCTTTTACATGAGTAGCAAAACCGAGGTAGTTCCGCATGCTCACAGGTCCACGTGACGAGAAAACCCAAGGAACTACACCTTGCAATGATAATATGCGTTAATCACCTCTTTTTTGTCATGCAGTTGGAGTGTTTGGAATGAATCCCGTATATTCAGTGTGAAATTGGAGGGATGCACCCACTCATTGCTCTACGCGATCTGGGCAATCCTTTCGACTAAAAAGTGAGCATGGACGCCTTTGCATTTTTTCCCGACCTATCGGGAGTCTGAACCCTTCTCCCAGAGCAGGAGCAACTGCTGTACAAGTGTATGGATTGTGCCTCATTCGCAGGAGCACTATTTATTCCTCACTTTTCACAATCGCATTTTTATAAACAACTGTTTCGTGTCATTCATTTTACGCATAAGAAAACTGTCAATGTCTACATTGTACAAATTCACAGCAAATCCTACAATGTAACAACGGCAGTTAGGCTGTGACAACGCGCCTTTACTGACCTTAAACGCTTGAAAGTCATTTCAGGAATTCACATGTCATTAAGATGTTTCAAACTCTTCGAAAAATTAACAGCGAAATATAACTAGTAAAGATTTCGCTGAGGAAGAGAGGAAAAGAAATATTCTTCAACGGATTTCACAGTCTTCACAGGATTGTGAAGCTTATTTTAAAATAGTAGGAATACAGTGTATGGTGAATTCTGAAGCAGTCTTATGTTGCCACCCTGGGCTGCTCACAGTCTGGTGAACGAAACTTGTTTACTAATTCCTGTCTCCCACTCCCCTCTCATCCATTACCTTGAATTAGAGGCCGCCGATAAAATTATTTTGAATTTATGCATTAAGAGCCGATAGAGGTTAAAGTTGGCGATACGGAGAGGCACTTATTCCAATTGCGTGCACTTTATAATGCTGTTTGAAGATCAAACCTGAGGGATTCTGTCGGGAAGACTCATTGGAAATTCCCAGAAAGCCCTAGCTTAACAAAAAATCAAACTCACGGCTAGAAATGCCATCAGTAAAAACATTGACTGTACACTATTCTGTTCATCTCGCCCATGCCTCTAGTCCTCTAATTCTGCCGTACCATCAAGATAGGGTCACAATCTCTTGCGTATTACATGTTCTTTAGTGGTGACTCAGATACCACGTCAAGCGAGTGACCTTGTAAAGTTCACAGGCAAAGTTGGTGGTCGGGGTCTTTCGTGATTAAATGAAAGTGCGTATTTCTTGTTCAGTCAACTAAAATACTGCGAAAACTGGTTTGGATGGCAAAGATTCAGGTCAAACTTTTCTATGGACAAGAAGACTATACACCATTACTTATCACTGCCTCAGAATAGCCTTCTTGATGACGCAACGTCAAAAAAAAATTTAATCAGAACTATTTAACTGTTTCGAATGCCTGGCATTCAAGTGGACGAAGAAAGTAGGCGAATACGAACCTACACGAGTATAAAATAAAATAAAATTAGTGATTTTAAAGACCTGATGCAGACGAGGTGTTTTAAATGCATTAAAGAGGGATCTAAGACAGACCAAAAACGTGACGAAAATCACCCAGCTGATTAAAATAACCGTGTCATGGGCTCCCATGGCAACTGAACAAAATACCTACCAACTGTTTCATAGCCACCACTTATGTACGAATGAATGAGTGAATTTCACAGTTCTACGATTCGTTGAAGGATAGCCACGCCTAACAGGTAGGTAATGTCGCATTGCAAATACCCATAAGTACACCCAGAATTTTGGAATAATAGACTTCGCGGTTGGAACACTTCCTTGGCCTTATTTTCCCAAAAGGTGAACTTAGCCATTCGGTTTACAAATGCCATTAAATCTTCCATTCTAAACACTTTAAGACGTGAATAAGTGCAAGAGCAATAAATGGGCAATAATACCACAACTGAAACCTGTAGGCGGGATTCAGGTGAGTAGTGTCCAGTAAACGCTCAGAAATGTAGAAGTGGAGCGCTTAGAAACGTTGCTTAGTAGCGAAATTAAGCACACTTCCCGTCCAACTACCGAAACGTTACCCTGCAAATCCGAAGGCGATACAAATGCTCTAATCCGAATGGACTGCACTGGGGCGCGCGACGTACCATACAATTAATGAAGGTACCAGTACCTGGTAGCACTTTCACAACCGTGAGGTTGTCCACACTCCACTTGGATAGCCACTTGTTTCTAACATTAATTTCCCAAAAAATATGCCTGCAGTTGGAAACAGGATTTATTTGAGATTTTGATGCGTGCTAGTTTAAAAATGACAGATTTCCATTACGGTCAGACAGCGATAAACAAACGTAGAAGTACGTCTAAAGTCATTGTCCTTTGCCAATGACAGATTATTCAGCCAAAATGATTTTAATAAATGTCGAAATCCAGGGACTTTAGTGGTAAAAATGAATGAGAGCTTCTTATGAGACATAAAAAAGCGAAGTCAGCCGTAATTCACGATATATTGCGTGACTCCAGCAAGGAGGAAAACAGGTAAAACGGAATTAATTCTTGTGAATATTGAAATGTGAGAATAATCGTTCTCTAAGCAGAGTAGCCACTTCTACAGCTTAGACGTATCAAAGAAGCACACTCAAACGCGAGAATTCAGAAGAGGACTATAATTCAAGAATCTTTACTACTACCCTAGTGAGCACTGGACAAATTTATCGAAGATTCCCTAGACATCCAGAGACGTCCTCAAGCCGTAGAAATAAAAGTGAACGCCTCGTGCGTCCACGGCGACGCAATTTCGCCTCTGAAACCTGACACTTATTGGGTTGATCATTCTACAGCAGACTAGACAATGCAACCAGTGGTAGAAGGCTGCTGACGCCACCTAGCCCTACGATTTAATGACTTTGAATAATCCAGACTGCGCCAAAGACTCGCAGTGGCTATCTACAAGTGGACATTTAAAATCAAATGCAAATGCCAAATGCTAAGTGGCATAACCAGTGGCCCCCATGAGGCTCCTGATTGATACTAATAAATCACCTGCCCGGCACCAGAAACGATGGACAATCTAAACCGTAAATATGTCATGGATTCCCGCAGCTAATTGGTCCTCAACAAGGCATGAACAACAAATTAGACTGCTTCGAGAAAAATACCTTATTTAGTCCATGCTGAATCTCAGCCATCCTGGCAACCATTGGTGTGAAGAACAACGTCGGCACCGCTTCGGGTGGATTGCAATCATCTCCGCTACTCAAAGAACGACATCTACCTCAGGAACTATAGCGATAGGGCAGAATTGCTGGCACCCACGGTAGCTAGTACATTACATTTGATCGAGTACTTTTCGACCCCGATTGAGATTTGTAACTTAAAAGTTTAAAAAACCACTCACAAAACTGTACAGGAGTAGCATTACAACAGTCACATGTCACATTAAAATCTAAGAAAATGAATGAATGAAATGTTAAATACCTTGGAGATGAGAATCTATTTCGTTCAAAAGACCCATCCACACGTTGCTAAGGTCCTTATTTAGAGTACCCATATTGTGAATTACTTTAATAGAGCAATGAATAAGGAGCGATTCAGCGCAGCCTAGAGACATCCATCTTAGTATGTACAAATAAGTCAGTAGAAAATAATAAGGAAAGGTAGGAGGTGAAAAGAGATATTACGTGCAACATCAGCCAGATTGGGACTCCGTTGAGCTTAACCAAATCTGGCGTCATTATGACAACGTAAGTTCAAAAACAACTCATCAGCAGTGTGCCACTGCTGGTATCCAAACCGTTCCAATAGTCGACAGTTTAAACCCACCGACTACTGGAACGGTTTAACCTCAGCTGCCTCCAAAGCACGGTGGTGGAGAGGGCCCGCCTAAAATGAATCAAATACACCACGTTCACTAAATATACATAAGTAGGATAACTTATTGCGACGAGCAAAACACCTATCGAAGCAGCAAAGTATTTCGGAAACGGGACAAACTATGCAGACACAAGAGAAATGAATTACTTACGATATGAAAGCCTTGAAAGTATGTCATTGGAAGGAGCAAACATTGGGTACAAATGATTTATCAAGTTGTGGGTCACTAGTCAGAATAAATCCAAATATTTATGCTTTACTGCTTGAGCGTAGCTGTTCTATGTAGTTTTCGCTAGTTTACTGTTTAGCTTGGGAATACAACACACATCAAATTTCGAAATGTACAAGTCAAGGTACCCAAATTTGTTGAATGCTACTTAAAAACCACCAAGGGTAGGAATATTCACAACTACTTCTGGATTGATAAATACAAAGCCTGGTAAATAAACTGAAGTGCATTTTATCATTTACTAGAGCAGAAATTGGTTCGTAATTTAAAATGATGGAGTTGGTCAAAGAAAAAAAAAAGAAAACCCGATATGAAACTATTCGCAAGTAACGCAAAGTGGGCGCTGCTTTGCAACAAGAAACGTGATTGAGTAGGGAAGCTGAAAATAAGCTCCGTGACATCCAGTGAGTATGCTTTAATGCGGAAACAAGGAAGACTTCACAAATACGTGATCAAATTAAGATGGATACACTGATGTGCGGTAACTTGATGCCTCGATGAGTCCACTGAGCAAGGAGACTTGGTCCACAAATTACAGTATTGAAAGACTTTTGCGCAGTTACTTAACTGCTTGATATACACAGTGGGAAAATTACTGTCCTTCATCGTCAATTCGTACATGGCTAGAATAAGGCATTCAAGCAGCTTAAAAAAGGCTGCAATGCAAGGCACGAGCACCATAATTTGCACGGTGAATGTAATTTTAGTAAGACTTTTATGACTGAGCAACGATACGCATACTATTGAGATAAAATAGATTAATAGATAGGGCACAAAACGGTCTTAAAAATAAAGCTTGAATCTAAAAGCATTTCCGTAAGGCGAAGGTGATACACAACCTCCGAGCAAATAATTCCAAGCAGCTCCACAACAGAAAATATCGGTAGAAAGTTTTCCTTGGTATGGGAAATAAGTTGATGTGGTAAGGCCACTTCAGATATTCCGTAAAAACGCAAAATGATGTATTGCTAAGCTTTAGTTCATATATTACCTAAAATGGAAAGAATTTAATAGGCGCGACAGAATAAAGAACTCCAAATTAAAAGCATTGTTTAAATTAAAGAGGCAGAGTGCAAATTTGAGCAAGTAAAACTGAGGTGGACTTCGGGTATCCAGATATGAAGATTGTGTGAAAATCGAAAGTGTACTAGACATTTTGCCTATGTGGAAGCAACCAACAGCCGAGTTGACTCACCTAGCCGTCTAGAGGTTCGGATATTAGAAGAAGGCCGGTTTGGTGTGTTCCGATTACCGGACTGCCTCCTGGATCCGAACAGCTATATATTTAAATTGCATGTGATGAAAGGAACAACTCACGTCAAACGGCAACATTGTAGTGAGACTATAAAGGTGACAAATGGTTACCGATAATAGCGATACTGGACTTACAATAAGGACATGACGCCAAAAGCTTCGCCTACGGCTTTTATTATATAACTTAGACTCCATGGCTCCGAGTCCACAATTTGACCTAGGTAAAGTGAGAGTAAGACACTCTAATAACTCCCATTACAAATCAAATGGAAGAAAACGAGTTTGCCGTGTCAAGTGATCAACAATAGGGCTAATAAGAAGAAAAACGTTAAATGTTGGCCTGTTTTGAATGCGGCAATATACGGCGACATATAGGAGTATATCAACGCATCAAATGAATTTCCGAGGTCAGATAGGGATTTACGCGTTTCAAGGAAAATTGGGATGTAAACGATGGTCCTGTGTACCAGGGGGGGGGGGGGAAATAATCATGGTGTTTCAGCGGAATCCAAAAATCCCCTTAGTTACAATAAGTCAATAAATTGCATAGAGCATGGCAAGCGAATCAAATCAGGAGCAATGATGAGTGATTTAACCTTATTCTTCAAATTCACTTTTTGAAACAATGAAATGCGCTGAAAAACAGCACCACTGTTAGCATCACTAAACTGGAGCCATTTGGGTGTGCCTGCATGAAAGTGTAATTTTGGAATTAAGCGGAGTTTTACTCTCGTGAAAAAAATCTGAACAGAAACCTTGGTAATAGAGTATCACGCGATCGCACCTGAACCAGTGACGTAGGGCATCGCAGACTTAAAGTACGCCAACAATCTTCAATTAATTAAAACTGCGTGCTCGTGGTGCAACAAATGCAGTGACTAAATTTAATCATATGCTACCGACATCGCACCTACTTAATACTTGACAGTGTTAAGGTAAAATTAGCACTACAAGGAAGTTGTTAAACCATAGTCTAAACGGCAATATTAAAGTAGCTATAGCCAGCAATTCATTTCACTTAAAATATCTCCCTTGCATATGTTATGTGTTGAGAACAGCAAATTACAAATAATTTATGATGACACTATCAAAAGGATTTGCAGCGTTCCGAGACCTTCATAAAGGTGAAAGAAGACATAATACTCGGTCAGAATATATGCATATCTTCGGCTCAGAGAAGATATTTGGGCTACTGACGTGGCCCGAAGGCCAGCCACTTAGCGTGGTACAAAAGCTAAGTGGAAGGTGGCTCCTCACCAAACCGAGAAATAAACAGCCACCATACTACAGATGCTTTAAATAAGTCTCTTTCGATCGCAGTCAGTGTGGAGTGGTTAAAGTACTCTCAACTACAAACTACCCCGTCGGCAATGCATAACTGCGTACCCAGCCAATAACCGTCCCCCACAGCAAGATGCGACTCTACAAAGGTACACCACGGGTTGGATATGGAGATGAGGTTTATGCACTAACGGGAGCGAGGAACCCACCGAATGGCAAATAAGAGGGCATGTCATAAGCGGCAACATAGCAAAACGGTACTAAAAGGACGAGGGACTATGTAATACTTGTGTCGTTTAAATGCGTCTTTCAGAGAGGAAGCAGGTAGCCAAATAGAACCTCGTGATTGAGGAGCGGCCAACATCTCCCAAACGAGAGAAGAAAATCGTGTTCAAGTCTCCCTAAACTTGTATCTATCCCCATTGACGCTAGACAATAAGTGTGTCCAAGCTTAACCAGTCTCGTCGTTCTTAGGGTATTAAGGCCAGGGAAGAGGAGATAAACGAGGCTAATGCTCTAGTTGAATCTGAGTATTTAAACATTCTGAATAACTTTTGCTTTGGTAGAGCTGTATTTGATATTGTTCGTGTTTTCAAAAGGAGGTAGGTTACTGCTGATATGTTCTATGTCAATTAACCCCCTTAAAGCCAAGGAGAAAGTTGTGCATGATGCTGCGTTAATGTTTCCTCTGTATGATGTTGTTACCTTCCATATAATTAGTCATTTACTTAATTGAGAAGCAGACATCTCTATTTAAAATACCGCTACCAGGTATTTCATATAGTAATATAAAACTGTGACAAGGCTTTACTATTCACTGAAGACCCCAAGACTGAAGTAAGCCATAAAAATTTCAGTCACGTGGGTTTTCGATGGTGAAATCGATAATGCTGTGGAAGATTGCTTACCCCTAGTGGAAAATGCCACAGACGTCGACAGCAAAGTGTGCCTTTGATCTGGGATGGGGGTGCTGCGAGAATAATGGGGCCTTTATTCAGGTGGGGAGGCGCCCTCTGCCAACTAACACGTCCATCGCTTCGGGCATTCAAGAAGGACTTTTGCAGGGAATTTGATTTGGATCTTGAACCGGCAAAACCACTAGTCGAAGACAGAAACAACTCACGACGCAATTATGATGATGATGATGATGATGATGATGATACCGACAAATCCTCCGACTCTGATAAATCGTCTGAATCCGATGAATCATCTCATTCTGATAGTTCAGATGACACGGAAACAGAGGAACCAGAGACTCCTTCTAATAAACGCGATCGAAAGTGCTGCCTCTGTTGTGCGTGCTGCGAATGTTTGCTTTGTTTCCGCATTCCGGGCAGATTTATCTGCGACAAACTGTACTACAAAATTCAGCGGAAGATAGATGGCTGTCCCATCGCTTGTCCCACACTCATCCCCAGAAGTGTTGAAGAGGAGTGGCGTTTCAAAGGGAGTTATGGCGCTCGATTCGCTGTTTGCGAGAGCTGCGCCAGTGCGGAGTGCGTCGTGGGTCTTAAGTGGTTGGACACCATATTCTGTCCCATTTGTGCCCTCTGGGAGATTGTGAAGGGTATTGATTTTGGTTACCGCCGATTCCGAATACAGGCCTACATACACAGACATCACGAAGCGGTTAAAGGCTTCAAAACCATCTGGGTCTGAGCTTTCCTTGGAAGTGGCGCATACACTTCAGTGCAATTTGCCACCCGCTATCAAAGGGAATGCCCCTTCACCGGTTATTTTAAGCCCAAACACCGGACAAACTAAGATACGAATAAAATCTCCTGCGATTTAACTTGGCGAATACGGTAAAACTGTGCTTAAAAGAGGCACCGCAAAGACACATTAGAGCCTAATGCAACAAAAGTTGTCAAGACATTTGACAGGTAGTTAGTAATACCATATTCACACAAATAATAACCCAGATGTGAGTAGTGTAAAGACAGCCCTTTCATGCGGCAGTCAAGGCATTCTTCAGGCCGTAGGCGTCGCCTTTATACAAACATTGGCCTCTGAAGCCGAAGTCTTAGATACCCTCGAATAACTTGAGTGGTAATGTAGAGTAGTCCAACAACCTTAGGAATTTATTGTTGGTGCATTAGTACTAGAGTGGTGTTGCCTGTTTAATGTGACGGAATAGTTTTACCATAAAGAGAGCCCTCGTTCTTGTAAGTGGAAGGCGAAGCGTTTTTATGTACAACCATTGCTAAAATCCAAAAAATTGTTGAAACATTCCAGAACAAGTCAACCTTCGCGGGGAGATCTGCTCGTTCTTAGGACTTAAACACAAAAGATGACATTTTGACAGTAGTCAACCCATCGTCTGTTGAGGAATGACAAGAGCAGCGATTAAATCATGGGAAGGCTGTGATGTGCCGAAAAACCCGTAAGTGAGCTCTTTGGTAGAATAAAACACGAAAACTCCAGCGGCTCCCACCAATCAGAACCCTAGAACTAATCTGACCCTTGAAACAAACAAAAAGCACCAAAATACATTTGCCTAATTTATGAATCCTACCTAATCTTAGTAACAAAAAGATGGGCTTGCTGATACTAGAAAAGTACAAGAAACCAGCCAAGTACCGCAAAAGATTGGATAGGAGGAACTCTGATTTGAAAGTGGGAGAACAGAAAAGGAGTAGGATGCACAGCTAATTACACGCATTACGGTTATAAATGCCAAGCTTTGAGGAATTTCACTGGGGCATTTTATTTCAAGCAAATAACAAAATCAATCAAATTATAATCTTATCCAAAACAGTTTAAAATCAGTTTTATTTAGAGAGACCGGTTAGGATGCTTCCGGCCAGAGTGAAGCTCAATGCCACCGCCAATTTGATATAATTTTTTATACCCTGAAATGCAAAAATTTGTATTGAATTCGCAATAAGTGATGGATAAGTTCGAGCAAGAAATAACGGTAAACCCAGGAGTAAAAGATTTGCCAGGTCAGGACAGTTGCATACGGCGATGTAGTTGTACCTGAACCTCGCGGAAGAGGAGAGTGCCAAGGAGGGTGGAAAAGGCGCCGGGGAGGGTGGCAGCAATGGGGAAGGTGATGGAAGCTTGAAGAGCCTCGTTGGCAATCAGCCAGCAGGCCTGCCCCGTGGCACACAACACTCCCGTCACCCAGCTCGGCAGCAGGAGCAAGAGGAAAGGCGTCTCTCTCTCATTGCCACCATTACTGCTCCTTTGCCACCGAGTCGCCAGCGCGTACAACAACAGGTAAGTGGTGGAGCCTATGAAAGCGCCCAAGCCCAATGACGCGACGTAGTCGATGCCTGTGAGATTGACAATCAACACACACTTCCCTCGTTAGGTATGCTCATATTACTCCGAGTGAGGTGGTTTGACACTGCGCTGCAAACCGTCACAATCTGCAACGCATTAGGTTACCTACAGAGATTGCAGAGGTTGAGGAATCAACGCGGAAAGGGGTTACTTACCTCGTCTCACAAATATTTCCTTAGTCTTTTTTGCATATTTCAAAAACACTTGAAAGTCAAATGGGTTTGAGGATAGGCAAGTTGAGTATGAATAACCGCACACTGAACTAGTTATTCAAACGAAACAAGAATGGAGAATCTAGGTTTTATGAATGAGGTATGATACCGCCAAGACTTTTCTAAGGCCAATTCGGATTCTGCCTCAGAGGTGAATATTCTCGGTGCTTGCCCTCGAATATGCTAAAAGAATTCCCCCTTCCAAATTATTTGAGGCTTCCTTCGATTTCCAAAGTCTTATTCAAAAAAAAATTGCATGAAAAAGTGCTTGAAATCTAGCAATAGTACGGGCACTTCAAACAAGATAGAGTCACAGGATCACTTAAAGCAATTCAAATAACATCCACTAAAAACGACCTCGAGAGTCCCATGTTCATTTTAGAATACGGACTATGCCTTTATATGCTGATAGCTGTAATTTTCACCCCATAACTGCCCTTTTGAAGTGACTGAGAGGAGGAACGAAAATTAAGCACACAAAACGACTCTCGGGCGTAATCTTAAGGCCCTACTAATTTTGACAAAAGTGTATTGAAAGGGAAGTAAAATTAATCGTCCAAAAAAATCTTTTGCTTGGGGAACTGTAACGCTGAATTTTGGCGATTAGGAAACGTTAAAATTGGATTCGACTTTCTGAACAAAGCATAAATGGGAACGGTAATATCTAGTTACCATAAAGTTAAGCATTTAAATAGAGAGACTATTATGTATTCAATGGATAGTTCAACAAGAGTAGTACCTCGATGACTGGCGTCGTGGTAATTTTCCTGAACATAGATGATAGGCACAAACACGGTTCCATAGAGCACACCCGAGAAAATCGACAAAAGAACGGCTCTAAAATGGATGGTTATTGCTCATTTAGCGCCTCAGACCGTTCTCAAAGTTAAAATGAAGAAACCTTAGTTCACGTTTCAGTAAACTTACTTCCCTACGGTAAAACTGAAAATGGTTTAAAAGCTAATCATAGCAAGCACCACCGAAGTGAAAATGATTAATGTGATAGATCGGGAGATTACGCAGCTGAAATAGGGGAAGTAAAACATGTTTCACAAATCCTAACAACTTCTAGCAAATTTAAGCATCTACATGAAAAGCCTTTAATGTAGTGATTTCAAAAACGAAACACCTGGTAACTAACAGTATTCGTTGTGCGGTTCGGGATCCCCAAAACCGGTGAAACACGGGCATCATCTCTTGATACAAAAGAGGATCACTATCCATCGTCGATCCGCTGACGTTACGCTCAGTATTATGCGCTGTCTCACTGTCTTGAGCGTTTTGACCCTCAACTTCCTGCCCAACAGATGTTGGCGTAATGAACACATAGATACTAACACTAAGAAAAGATTAAGGAGTTGAACAAAGCTAATGAAAGTGACCTCATCGCAGCCAAAGTTACACCAACGATATTCATGGTTTCATTACTGGGTATCTCGGGTCGAATTCCAAACCAGCCGAATCTACAGAAACACATATCTAGAGTCCCAGAAAAACAGTGCATACAAGGTTTTCCAGCACCTCTATCTGGCTGAACATACCGACTGCTGGCCCATCCTATCAGTAAGCTAACCATGTTCCAGATTAGCATTCCGATACCCATCCCCAATCGTTTGACAATCGGGACCAAAGTTATGTTACCTAAAAGGCGAGGAATGCCAATAACAATTCTAGCTGTTTTTACGTAATAAATTACGATAATGCAGTACAAATAGAGTAAATTTACCAATGGACTACCTGATTTTTACTTATTTATTAGGCGGCCACAACTACCCATTTTAAAGCAGGAAGGACCAAGAATAAAATTTAGTAAAGTCATCTGATGAACGCAGATATTTGCTTAACAAATGTAATTTCACTATAAACGTACAACTGATAGAAAAGTGGCGGCATCCATTTTGAGAGTACACCATGAATGAATACACATCAGAAGCTTATACCAGGCAAATTTTGGCAGCTTATAACTTATGTGAACGTGAGTTAGATAGCAAATTACCAACGGGTGTGGATAAGTCCAGTTTTAGGTGAAAGAATAGTAACTTTAGCGAAGAAAGTATCCAGATTCACAGGAAGCTCGTTAGAGATTCAGATAGCCGTAATTGAGGGATCTTGTACACTTTAAAGTCTACGCAAAGTCTCAGGCGCTTGATGAGTTCCCACTCTTAATGCTTAATTCAAACGTAGCAAAGATAATGGAAAAGATATGCGGCTCGACTAATATGCAGTAGTAATCATAAAGGGGAAAAAAACCTATCAAGATAAAAAATTTCGGTTTAAGCTGGCATTGGTTTTGATAGTTTACAACATTAAGACAAAATACGAACGGTAATAGGATACAAATTAATGGTTATTCTGTAATAAGCTGCAGAAAAATTATCTATTTCATCGTAAGTAGATTAAGAGAACGCTAGAAATACAAGGCCCTAGTAACATAGAGTAACTTGAGTGTTTCAGTGTTACGATTAAAAATTAAAATCATTAGCATGCCGAAGGGATGGACTTTTCTCAGCCAATATACAATATTTTGGCATCAGCAAAATTCTGAACCACCTAATACTCAAAATGATAAAGATACTTCAAAAAAGGTGAATTTGTATTTGCCAGTTAAACTATTAGTAGTCCGATGAAATAAAAGAGAGAAACCAATTTTATTCAAAGCGACTGAAATGCTTAAATTGAACCCACCTGTTGACCATAAAAACCCACTCAATATGGTAAGAGGCCAGATTCTTGGTGAACCAATACACAAGTGGACAATAAACAAGGTAAAAGCGAGCGCGATAGACATAATCCATTGAAAAATCCAACCTGCAATGGTAAAGATTGGCAAAAAGCTGGACTACAGGCTCTTTTTGTAAAAAAAATAAAACAAATATTTTGCACCCATGCGTCGCAATTTGCTAATTCTACACTTATAAAGACTCTGACAATGGGAAGGTAATCAAGAACGAGAAACAAGTGGGAAAACGGGTGCATATAAAAGAGGTAAAAGTGCTAAATTCAAGTCATAACGTCAATCTACAAATCAGAAGTGTAGATGCAGACCAATACTGGCAATTTACCATCTCCAATGTCAAACTTCTTAGTCGGTAAGAGCATCGTCCCAAATGCAATCGTCAAACCGAAAATTGCAATATACCCCCACTCTGAGGGTACTTGGATTAGAGCCACAGCATTTGTATAAAGAGGGAGCATTGAGATGCCTAGTATTTTAAAAAACTAATAACATGCACAACCTCTCCGCTCTATGACCAGATAGCCTAACCGTAACTGGATATGGCCTAACCAGTCACATTAACCTTGAATTGCAGAATTACCACCGGTTTAAGTTATAGAAGCCCCCTTATACAGCATGAAATCAATCTATAAGGGAAGTGAAAGTAGCTAATAATAAGGGAGCAGCAATCGTTATGGATAACCGTGATATAATGAGTCCATATTTTAAAAGTTGGGCCTTTGTGGGTAAATGGTGTAAGTTCTACAAAATGGTAAGTTGTGCAGTTAAATTCGTATTAAATTAGCTTAAACACGGGAAGTCAAAACCGAACCCATCTTTTGCACAATATTCGGTGGTGTCAATCGATTTTGATCAATGGGAGTTGGCGTAATATTATTAACAATCAAATGCAAGGCATAAAGGCAGATTTTAGCAAAAAATTTTATTTTTAGCAAAAAATTTTCCCGTAAACTTTTTTTAAGTGGTGGGGATACATGCAGATGCTTACACGTTCTGCCATTTTGCACTGTACGAGCACCAAAGTATCTTAGGATTTTGTAAAGCAGCAAACTACTAAGTGATAATTGTTTTAAACTAATTCACAACACAGCTAGTTGAATGACCTGTAGCATTAGTTTGTTTATACCAGCGACAAGCTGTCCTCTCTTTTGGATGCTTTTGGCGATCGGTGCCGTTATTCTTGCTTTTAAAATGTCAACTTCAATATCAAGTCTAAATAGCCTTTTTTCGTTTACTTCTCCTGCAGTTAAAAGGTTGCTCGGTTGGAAGCAAGGTGACGAGGAGGAAAAGTGGGCTGAAAAAGCTGTAGATTCTCTTGTGAAAAAGCTGAAAAAGAAGAAAGGTGCTCTTGAGTCCCTGGAAAAAGCTTTGAGTAATCCAGGTGAACCAAGTGAATGTGTTACGATACCAAGATCTTTGGATGGCAGACTGCAGGTTTCACACCGCAAAGGTCTGCCACATGTTATATACTGTCGTGTTTGGCGTTGGCCTGATCTACAGAGTCATCACGAGCTCAAGCCCCTAGACATTTGTCGCTTTCCTTTTTCTGCTAAGGAGAACGAAGTGTGCATAAACCCGTATCACTACAAGCGTGTTGAAAGTCCAGGTAATCTTGGATGATGTACCCCATTTCCCACAGTGTGTCCTTTCAAGAGCCATAAACTTATAGGATTATTGGTCTAAGTGAACGCGGGCTTTGACATCAAATGGGTATATCATCCCCTCACTTTTATCCAACATGCCTCGTTTGCGTTCGTTTTAGTTTTGCCGCCCGTTTTGGTTCCAAGGCATAGCGAGTACCCTTGTATGGGGTCGGTATCCGCTGGACCTCCAGCGGACTCAACAAGAATAAGCATAATGCCACTCCAGGCTGCTCCACTCTTGGTGGCGTCATCTTATGGTCAGCCGACGTCAAGCGGACCTTCAATGCCTTACGTCACCTATCCCCAAGGTTTCACTCAGACCTCGCCGCTCCCCCCTGCTACTCCCGTTAGCAGTGGTGCCTCTCCCTCTACCTCCCTTCCTCCGCCCTCCGGTATGATATTACCGTTCACCACATTTGGCAACATTTTCCAACGCTTTTGGTTTCATGGGTTATACTAGTCCCTTTTTTCCGAAACTCATCTGTATTAGGTTTTTTTGAAACGAAAGTGTTGTTTGAATGTTTTGAATTTTCCTTTACTTTAGATGCTCCTTACGAAAATGTAAGATAACGTTGCTTGTATGCGATTTTCCTCACTTTTAAGCAATTCAGTGGCACAGCCATGAACGTAGTTCATAACATAGAAGGATGGCGTATGTTGTAGTTGCACGTGTAAAAGTCGTCTTATCGTTTGCCGTTCTCCAGACACTCATCCAGTAAACTACCAAGAACCGAAGTACTGGTGTTCGATAGTCTACTACGAACTAAACACCCGTGTTGGAGAAGCCTTTTTTGCCTCTCAGCCAAGCATCGTGATCGACGGTTTCACAGACCCTTCAAACAACTCGGACCGCTTCTGTCTTGGTCTCCTCTCCAATGTAAACCGCAATTCTACCATTGAAAACACTCGTCGACACATTGGCAAGGGTGAGTTCCTCTTTGTTACTGGGCAAATTCATACATAAAAACGTACTTTTTGGATAAACACAACTGTAGAACTTTGATAACTAGGACTTGTAGCTCTAACTTACAATTTACAAGTGTAGACGCTCATTTTTCTGTAACCTGAAACTTACTGTAATATACGTCAATTGTAAAAACTTTTTATCGAATATTTTTGACGGAAAAACTAATTTGGTAAGGCCGTTACCATATTCCTTTTGTGGACATAGGCACTGTTTGATGGGTTAAAAATGGTTAGTTTTGGGTTCTACTTCCTGCGATTTATATTTTGGTAGTATGCCGCAAATTACGTCTGGCATTTCTGCTTCCCCTTTTGCATGCGTAGTCATAATGGGCAGTAGTATGATATTTTAAATAAACAAAATTTAGCCCACACATTAATGACTTCTAAAAATGATGATTACTATTTCTGCCAACTATCTTTTTTACTCGTCACTCGCTGTCAGTCTCTCTGGTGTTCATCTCCACTGCCAATGTTCTGATACGTGCCTGTGTGATAGGCGATTCGTCACTACATGCAAGGAAGGCGGTTATTTGGCGACCGGTGTAATTGGTTACGCGTTGTTTTGTTTATTCGGCGTTACAGTCGTGCGGTTGGTGGTGGTGATGGTGATGCTCTGGTGTATGGCCGCACTTACCTTTTCTCCTCACTTTCATCTGCGCGTGTTTTTCCCTCGCTCAAAGGGGCTAAAAATGAGTGCCTTTCCGTTGCAAAATTATTTCGCACTTTCCGCGAATACTTGACTTTAATTTCAAGCTAAACAGAAGCATTCCGCTTTTTGATAAGCACTCATTTTTTATATGAAGGGACCTATCGGGGTCCTCATGTGTAAATTGAACGTCTTGTTTTATTTAAGGAGCTCACCTCTACTACGTTGGAGGAGAGGTGTTTGCGGAATGCCTCTCAGACAGCAGCATCTTTGTGCAGTCGCGCAATTGCAACCACCGGCACAATTTTAATTTGACTACTGTATGCAAAATTCCGCCAGGCTGTTCGCTGAAGATTTTCTCAAACCAGGAGTTTGCTCAGCTGCTGCGTCGTACAGTGAGCCACGGCTTCGAGGCAGTTTACGAGCTCACCAAAATGTGCACGATTAGGATGAGCTTCGTGAAGGGTTGGGGTGCCGAATACCACCGCCAGGATGTCACCTCGACACCCTGCTGGGTTGAGATCCACCTAAACGGCCCCCTCCAGTGGCTGGACCGCGTTCTCACTCAAATGGGCACTCCACGCAATCCCATCTCTTCCGTTTCCTGATTCGTCTCTTTTCGCCCTCTTCCACTCTCCTCGACTTTCTTCATTCTTTGCTTCCTCGTGTAACTGCATTTATTAGGTGCTTGCCAAGCACCAGGACAATCATGATGCGCCATCCAGACTTCATTCTTTGCCCTTCCTTTTTGACCCCGTGGTTATCATTCCTGCCTTTTTAATCATTTCAAATGTAACGGTTCTTAATTATATATGTAATGTAGTCACCTTGACTACACAGCTACTCCTTGTTGTCACGCCGTAAGGGTAGGTAGTTTAGTAGTTGCGATTGAATGCGAGTGCATCAGTTGCACTGCGTATTGGCCGAATAGATGATTTGAAGCCATCGGAAGAGTAGAGTTGCAGCGTCCACGTTTTGATACTTACACAGAGTAGGTGTATTAGTGTGCAAGTGCTCACCTCCAAGAATCCCATAAACTTTGAATTCTTGTGGCTCCTACGGCACAGGAGTTCCGATACTAATGCTAGTTAGTTTTCTAGAATAAATGAGGCAAATGTGCCAAGGCGGTTGCGATGCCTACGGTCCCGTACTTTAGTACTACGCAGGTAGTGAGAATAGGGCCCCACAGGCGAGCAGATCAGACGGTCAGATAACGTAGCTGATGTTTCTGGTTTCAAGGCAGTAGTGAGCAGCGCAAGGGGATGGCGAGCCACGGAGCGAGGAGGGACACATAAAAACCACAGCATGAGTCAACTGACTGGCGAGGTGTTTTAGCTCCGGCCCGCACAAGGGGGCGGACACAGTTGAAAGCATACCGTACGAAGCAGTTACACTAGAGGAGATTTAATGGTCCGACCACGCGCCGTTCATACTACTTTGCTGTAAAATGCATTTGAATTGCTTTTAAAATAAATTTCGCTCCTTAAATGTCCAACATTACCAAATGATTTGATCTGCTAATTTGACCCGGTGGGGAATTTCAAGAGAAGGCTTTGGTTTTTTATTACAATGAGAACTTTTCCCACCAGTGCCTCTAACTTCAAGTTTACGCGATATTCTTGACACCCAGCCCTCCGAGACTTCTCTGAAGACAAAAGGAGACATAATGCTCAGGTGAAATATATGTATTCTACATATAGCAGGGCTTGGGGCTGCTGACCCGCCTGCTAACCAACACATCACACAATCCCGCTCCTCTTTTACGCGTTACTCCTGGCACTCCCCTTGGTCAACCTCTCCCGTCAGTCATCACAATGTAATCGGTACTGCAAGGAAACACCCACAAGTCAACCGTGCTAGCCATCGTATTTCCATGCGAATGCGGAGATACTTGACCGTAGCGTCACTGCCATGCCTTGTCGATTCTACTGGATCTGGAGTTTCGTCCCCTGTGGGAATCAGATTCGGGGACGAAGGAATGTGATGGCCATCACGCGTGTATACAGCTAGTTGTAGGATCACTGACATCAAAGCAGTCATGTAACAAAGGACGGATTTAACACGGTTTCGTAAGGGTAGGGATTTGCTTCTCTTTTTCCTTGCCACACGTTGTTCTCACTTCAGTGTCGCCCAGCTCTAATCTGTCTGGTTTTTATCCAGCTAGCTGAAAAGTGAATGAAGTCAAGCAGTCGATGCTGTCTTGCAAGAACGGTAGGCAGCTCTGTAACAAAACTTGTTCTGACGGATCACGGCTACTGCCGCTTTTGTTGTTAACAGTTTTCCTACAGACCACAGAATTGGGAAGCTGCTGAAGATGGGCGTTATTTTAGCCCTTTTATTATGAGTCGTCACCGATTCTTCAATCTGTAGCATATGCGCAGCTTCTGCCCCACTAAGGTTTATCACCCAGTAGTAGAAATCAGGATGTTTGTCCTTTAAGATCGGGTCCGCTTACCCCTGCCATTTAGGTAGCACACCGAGACTTCCCTGAAGACGGAGAAAATACGCAATATTTGGTCAGAACATATATATACATATATTCGACATACAGAAGGGATTGGAGCCACTGGTATGGCGAAGGTTCAGTGGTGGAGACCCAAAATGGCCCCTTTACAAAAATCGAGAGTTAAACAACCAGCGCATTAGAACATATTAAAAGTTCCTTTTCAACAATACACAAAGTAACAAAACAGACTATCCCCTGTTAGGATTGGAAGAATAGGAGTATAGTAAGCTTTATGCAGACAGAAGCAATTACTGGCGATTACCTTAGGACGGGTGCAGATGAGCCCCCATGCCAGCTCGTGCCTTTGATGTCCTACAACTAAATCGACTAGTCCACTCAAAAACAGGGTGTCCAGATGCCTCCGGGCGTCAGAGAAGTTATAACAGCTTATCCGAATATTATTAAGTTAGTTACTGTAATAGCCTGTCATTAAAGTAAAATTGAAGTAGGCTATAAATTTTAGGCTTTGGGTTGTCACCTGCTTTTACTGATATGCTTGTCAGTAGACGGAATATTAACGTATTAGAACATGATAGCATGAGCTACGGACCCCTCAAAAGGTATCCAAATGTTTTGCAAAACTTAAAACGCAAACTCCAACATACCTAGGAATGAGTGCTTACCATCGGCAGAAAGGATTGTGCGCATCCACGAAGCTTACCAATTAGTTTTAAAGTGAGATTTCATTTGAATAATTCCTTAAAATACATTGTTTTGCTCATAATCGGTAACCATTGCATACTAATCCAGCAAACATCCACATCAAACTTAGATTCTACTGAATTTACACCAATCAGTTTATCATATTTGGTTGCATTTACACCTTGTTACTCTAAGTTGCAGATTGAGCGTCCCACTTCACTGTGCGGCACCATTCAGGACATCGTAGAAGTAAACACTTTGCTACCGTTCCACTAATTCATTGAGTGGAAATACTCGACCCTCTAAACTCGTAAGCACAACAGTCAGTACACCTGGTTTGAAGTGTCTGTCCTTTTAATTACCATAACATGACACACATAAACAGAGTACTCGTTAGCAGTGGAGATATAAATTCTTACATACTACCAAGTGAGTCGGCAGCAGAGTTGTGATTGATTAAGCCGATCCACCAAATGTGCTCAAATGCTAGTTTGCATTTAAAAATGTTATTCCTAGACGCTTAATAGTTCGCTGCTAGTTTTAAATAAGATTACAGATATAAAGTTTGAAGATTTGCAGTTAGAAGTATCGATGCTGTGTGGTACTATTTCAGAGGGGACAGGGTGGTAGTTTAAACGCAGCGTAGAGAATCCACCCACCACGAGAAAAGAACCACCTTAAAGAATATGTTTACTTGCAGAATGGTGGACTTATCCAAGATGTAGCTAATTTGATGAATTAGCGAATTCAAAGTATTCAGCGATTACTTAGGTTTACATGTAAGCACTAGGCAGATGTCGTGAAAATGCCTACGCATCCCATTGTGCATCTCAGTCACATATTTGATCCGATAAGTATACGACATGAGCATATTTTTAAGTACAACAACACCCAAACTCATTGAGGATTAGCCTTATTTGCATTTAATTCGAGATCATGAGACAACACATCCATTTTCCCGAAAACAGAACTATTTTTGTGAGATTATCAACTTGACATTTTAAACTAGACCTATGCAAACTTGCAAATCACTTGATAGCCCAAAAATGTGATTGACAACTGCATTCTCACAGATCCACTAACTATTACCCAAATATAAAGTGCAAACTGTAGTGTAAGATGGGAGTTGTGATGGCATAATCATTGTGACTGTGCATGCATTAGTCCATTTCCTGAAGTAAATTGACATTGTCGAGAAATGAAAATGCCCTCTTCTTTGATAAATGTGCAGATCTCATCAGTGAAGCCTTCTCTCCCTTCGCATTAAGGCGAAAGAGGTGACAAAAAATTGCAGGTTAGGGCCTCAGAACTAACCTGGAAATAACCTGTTTTACAACCACTAAAATGCAACAGTCGCTAGTAGTCTCAGTGCGCTGAGCACGAGCCCGAAGGACAGTCGTCTTGGCAGCGGCTTCGCCTGATGCCAGGTGACTCAGTTGTTGACCGGCCTGGAAAATTTCCACGATAAAAGCAGCATTCCACCCAAATGTTTATTTTAATCACATTAAATATCACTTGAAATAAATTGGACTTAAAATGTAAGAGTCTAGTGGCCAGAAACTCGTATTTGAAGGGATCTATCAAGATTAAAAAATATAATCTTCGCATGCATCATAGAGCATTACTTAATCAAAGACTTTGTTGATGCCTACCTTTCCACGGACTGTTAAGTGCATTTTCATTTATTCACATAAATGAGACTTGTAACCTCAAATTGTTCGCAAGTTATTTAGAGAATCAGTTATTTATTTACAGCCAACTCCTACATCGCAAGACTATTTTCAACCGATTGAATCAGCCCTAACGCACCAAAGGCCAAGCACTCAAGTAATGAGCAGCGCGAAACTGACAGATTAAAATATTACTTCAAACCTGCAAGAATTTGACTTAAGTAAAAATCAACTAAATTAATGAAAACTAAGTCTTGAACAAACAACTGTTTCAATATACCAAAGCACAAAGTCTTCACTGCCGCCATCCTGGAAGCCCTTTACCACCCAAACCTGCTATCAGGTGACAGTGAAAAGGCAACAATATTGTTTAAGCCAAAATGGCGCCAGAATGTATCATTCACCAATGGGCTTACTTGTCCACGTTCATTGATCTCATAGCCATGCCAGGCTGGTGTCATCAGACGGCAGTGACGACGGGTGCGGCCTGTGGATCCTTAAAGCAGCCTCGTCTCGGATTGGTAAACACCACAATATACGATCCAAGAGAGCGTGGCATCGTGAAGAACACACAAGGGAATGCAGGTCATGCCACCATCCGCCAGTAAAATTGGTGTTTCAAAACATGCTATTTATGTTTTGTACAAACTAATCAGTTGAAAATAATTCGATCGACGCGTATTACAAGTGCAAAAAACCTCTACGGGATGAAAATAAGCTCCAGCCTTTCCAGTTGCCTTTTGCGTCAACAATTCCAAGCGTTTGGAAAAACGCACGAATGGCCTCCGTTAGTGAGTATTTTATGCTCTTGACAGGCTTCATAATTGGAGATGATGACGATTTGACTAATTTGGTTATTATTTAATTTATGATGTAAGGCATGTCAAATCACAGTAGTGGATGAGACACTGTATGTGGACCTATCATGCAATCTGCCAAGTAAGCGGTTCTGAAATAAAACACATAATGTTAAATTATCCCCTTTTAGAGCAATAATGAGCCATATCAGAGGTTGTGACTGAGGACATAATGACAAATTTAATCGGATAAGGGATAAAATTGCCTCACTCAAGGGACAGATATTGTTAACGATACAGACAATGTTATAAATAGGTATCAAAGTCTTTTTTAACAAAATCCTTAGAGCAATTTTTTACATTTGAGTCTAACCCTCTTCTAAGATTCAAGGTGAAGGTAGCAACCAACAAAAAACCTGAAGAGGCTAAAAGTAGCGTTAAATTGCATACAAAATTGTCGTTATCGAACATTTCTATTGCACTACCGAAAGAGAGCTATATGATCTCTCCTGTTATTGTATAATTAGTGGGGGTGTTTTAAGGAATACCAAAAATTGCCTACGGATGACAACGTAAATCAGCAAAAAGGAGGAATACATCACAAAGTGTTTGACTGGTAGAGATGCTAGCATGGCGTGCGCAAAACAAGAGCGTAACTTTTACGATATCTCATAGCTTGATAAAACGTACACTTCACTTTTCGCCGATAGATCCCTTCTAAATATGATTTCAAGGTGTTGGTTTTGCAAGCAGTTGACTGCACAATGTGTTTATTCTAATTTGGAGTTAGCAGCTGCACCGTATCCGTCTGTTTGGTTTAGAACCATGTTGGTAGTGGTAATATCTTGCAGTCAAATGCCACCAACCCTTAATGAACTGTTTTTTTAATTAAAAATACAGAAGAGGATTAATTAAGTTTGGATCGTTGCTACCATGTCTTTGAATTTACAACCCACTTATAGCTAATATGATATGAGGATCGGTGGAGAACAATACGAAACTTGTGACCAGGAAATGCATTGACCAAGCATAATTCCCGCAGTCTATAATCAACGGGATACCAGAATGGCATACATCGGTTACATAGAGTACCCATAAAAATCATTCCTCCTTGTTCTCGCCATACTTATCAACCAATCCAATGCACTGGTGAAAAAGGGAATATGCTCCATTGGCTTTGTTTTACCTTCAGAGGCAGTAAGCGCCTACATGCATTTTCTATTCATTTGTGTCCCAGATAGACTAAGTAGAATTCATTAAGCAGGTAATATGTATACATAAGAGAGGTTAAGAGAGTTGATGCGTCTCTTACTGCATCGTAGCAGCAGCTGTGGCTGAAACGCTCACTTCAGAGGCAGACGCAGACGCAGAAGTCTATATGCTCTAAGATGAGATTGACTGAGACAGTGACTCCTGCATCCGATTTCCATAATTTATCATCGCATCATTTGTTAAATTAAGTGAATTTTAACCAGCTGCGCTTAAAAAAGAGAAACTGATCTACCCGTGGAATTAATTATCTTCTATGTTAATTATCAAATAGTTAACACACCCATTTTCCTAAAAAAGCATTTGCCTTCCTGCAAAATGGCATCTTCTCCATAAAGGAGCGCTTATTTGAGTTATTTGAAAAGCGTGGAAAATGGGCAGCTCTTTCATTTAGTTTATTTAAATTCATTACCTGCACCCAATAAGTGCTTAAACATTTGTAAACATAAAAGTACTAGACTTTCATGCTAACTGTTTACCCAAAATGATAATAAGGCGATTTTGTCTACAAAAATGTGCACATAAAGGGTACGGCCCCGATAAGGTAAACACGATTACAATGCCAATTAGAAGTGAAGCGGATCGGCGGTAGTAGCTGTGGTGGGCCTGGTCCCATCCTTTCCAAAGTATTCGCAAGATCGTGTGGCCACGCCTCCGTCTTGGTGGAGGATGTATGAGTGAGCAACAGCCAGTAAAATAAACACAGCTTTATAAACGCATGCTGTACAAAGGCTTGGCTGGGTAAAAATAAGGTTTTTCAAATTTTTAACGTAGGCTGGTGCGTAAACGCTGTAGGTTTATTTGCAAACAATCCTTGCATTAACAAACCACTTTTTACAACATCCACGGGGACATGAAATCACTTTTATATGGCCATCTGAGTTTACGTGCAAAATTTTTGAAAAAATTGATGGTAGTGATACATGAGCTCTATACAACATCACTTGATTACCCTAATTTTTTTACCCATAATGCATGACAATACACTTCTCTGCATTTCCTTTCCATCAAAACCACCTCCATTGCACACATACACAAGTGCCTTTTTTCCAAGTCTGACTCTCATTTTTTTGTAGTGCTAACTCCAAACACCTCTGCTGACAGTGTGGCCTGTGAACACAGAACAGTCTGATTGCAACGGAGTACGTCAAAAAGTATGCAACCGAGTGATGTCGGAGCTTCTTAAATAGAATCTTTACAAAATTGGGTGATACGAAAACTGAAATGGACGAAAGAATCCTTTTAAAACCACAACTCGATTCATAGAGAAAAAAATGCTTTGCTCTTTGGTATGAAGATCACGCAAATTGCAGGCAGCGTATTCCATACAAGATTTTTTTATTCAGTCGATGTGACAAGTGACAAATATGCATACTGACACGCCACTCAAAGCCCTGACACCTCCCGATCCGTCTAAGGAACATGGCGGTGCAAAAAGTCTTCGAGGAAAATATATGTTCGGGGTTCGTTTGTAAATTAAGGCTTTGTTCTCTTTTCTAGGGATGTGTTATTTTACATGCAAATTTAACAAAGAAGTATCCTGTCTGCCAAACTAAGACATATGCTGGGTGTTGACGATAAGAAACATGGGCGTGTCTTCGCTCCATGGAGAAAAAACGAAAAATTAAATTTGTTTAGAAAGCTGATGTAGAGAGTTGGCTGGCCCCTCTTCTGTGCGGCCTTACTTAATAAACTGTATTTAATACGTTGAGTGGTGGGAAGCGAACGATAGTGGAATATGGCGCTCAAACGAGCGCATCGAATATGACATGGTGCTTGAAACAGAGCTGTATAAATCTCGATGAGATTGACAAATTTCGAGGGGCCCTAGATGAAAAAAAAACTTGCTTTTGCTTCTCGAAAGCTGAACATTTTCAGGATCGAAGCTGGATGTGTTATTTTGGAGTCACCTGGATTAAACATTTGCAATAATAAGCTAGATATTCTTATTCATTCCTCAAAACATAAAAATATCTGCTTCAAAGAAGGCCCTCCTGTCAGGACTGCAAACAGCAATACGCAAACTACCAGAGGGTAAATCGGCAACCCTAGCCGTGCGAGCTTATTTAAGGGGAAAGAGGTGCCCCATGGCACGATTAATGGAATTAAGCAAATCATTTTCAAAGGTGACAAAATTAAAAGAAAACTCTCATCAAGTTTCAAAATGTCCATAGAAAACAAGGGGAATGCTAATTTGAGGCCCACTTCACTTCCATTAACGAAAAAAGAATGTTTTGGCTGGCTGATTGGCGGCAATAATGTCGCACTGATCCCTTTTAAAAGGATGCTGTCACTAAATTGTGCTGAGCTGTCAAATATGCATTCTATTATTCCGGAGTATGAGCGTAGCGTTTACAAACATCACGTTAAAATAAGAAAGTGATGCCTCTCTTCCACAAATATATTTGGTTATATCTACAGTACAAAATAATTATATTATGCATTGCTTAAATCCAGCAAAGGATTTGACACTAATTATTGTACTACTTTTTAAAAAAGAGAAGCACCAATGCTGAATGTTTTCACAAGTTTGTTTTTTTTGTGAACTAGGAGATGACGTACTCAATGAGCAAATAATATCTATTATTTTGGTGGTGAAGGTGTGGGAGCTATTGAAGTCAAGCATTCACGTCATGCGGACTTTACCCGTCAGTAGACCAATTCCTCCACGATTATCGAATCAACGAGTGCCAATTTAATACAAGAAGTGTAAATCGTAGAAAGTGTGCTATTAAAGGAGCCGTCTCGGCAGTTAATACGGAAACTGAAAGAAATGAACAGCAACCATAAGTAGGTTGGCTACATGAGGGCTATACCGGAATCAAAAAATATTCCAATAAAATAGAATTCTAAGGTTATCGCCCCCCTTTACATTTTGCACAACAAAACAACAGATCCATTTTATCATATTTTTTACCTAGATTTGTCTTTACAGAGCATTACAATAGTGCTTCGCTCGAAATTCCCACCACTTTAAGTATAGTATATAAATAACCGCATCCCAGACACAATGCCTGTAAAGAATAGATTAGATACCATTATTTTTTTTCGTAAATGCTGATAATATTGGGGTCACGTCGGCATTCAGAGTGATCGGCGCTTAAATGGTCTGGCAGCGTTCAGGGTGTGCGTGAGAGTTCACTCCAGCCATTCAAGTCTGCACACAAATCACTGTTTACACACAGTGGTCTCAAGTGATAGGCAGTGACGTCTTGTCGTTGAATGATATAAAGGCAGGTCAGGAAGACGAGCCAAAGGAATCAATTTTTGCCAGGACAATGAATGCCTCCGATGCTCTCGGCCTCGCGAACGAAGAAGGCGCTTCCGTCTCCATGACCTCACCCACTTTTGGCTACATAGCAATTGTCGTTTGCGCCGTCTGCTTTGGCACCAACTACTTGCCAGTAAAGAAGTTCACAATGGGTGACGGTGAGTAAAATTTTGGAATCTGATGTCTTATGCATCAACAGTGAATCTTTACTACTCATAGATATATCACAAAGTCTACTTAAAATGCATAGGTTTCTAGTGATTACAAATACTGTAAAAATGACTTAAAACTACGAAAAACATCGGAAAATTCATTATTCTCTACCACATCGCAATACACTTACTTACTTATGGACTCCATTGGTGCTAACAGTCACGTTCTACGCCCAAGTATTAAAAGACAATGACTGAAGAAACTTGTGTGAAACAAGATCTGCTCAAGGTAACTGATGGTACCATATCAACATGCATAAGATTTTTTAGTAAGATACGCAACCGGTAACACTTTTAAGCATTTCACAAAGTTTGTCTACTGTGAAACACCTGCCTAGTGTGACGGGAGGAAGTCCTCGAAATGCTTTTCCGAGTTGAGCTTTAGAGTACGGTATGACCATTAATTATGATACCAATAATTTTAGCAGTATTTATGAACAAATATGTGTGGAATTCTATGCACTAATACCGCCTTCAGGTATGTTTTTTCAGTGGATGATGTGTAATGCAATTTTGCTCGTGGGTGTCATTGTCAACTGCGCAGTTGGGTGCCCGAAATTTTATCCCCTTGCTATGTTTGGCGGCGCACTATGGGCCATCGGTGAGTAGTCTCAGTTCCTACTTTTATTTAAACGAAGTCATTTTTTCTGCCTTTGCTGCGAAAGTGCTCGACTGAATGCTGAATGCTCACAATATTCAGGCTGCAGTATCCCGAGCCTAAAACGGTGACCATAGAAATGCCCTTCCTTTTAGTATGTTCGACACATTGAGACATTTTGCTTAATTTATTCAAAAATAATTTGCTTAAAGTAACATAGAATGACACAAATACAAAACATAAAAGCAGTTGTTTCCCAATTGAACCATAGACTGCACAACTCAACACGTTAAACATTTCAAGCGGAGCATTGTAAGCAAATCGTGATTCACGGTGGCAGCCAATCTGTTCAACAATCGCATTATATTCATAGTGGTAAAATTTAAGCAGTTAGGCCAATCTATGTCTTTTCTAGTGGTGCATTTCATTTACTTTCTATCACAAATCTACGTTTGTATTATAAGTTTTCTGGAAATGCAGGTCACTATCAGGCGATTAGTTTGAGCATTTCATGGCCTTGGAGATTTACCACAAACACGACATTTATCTATTTTATGCAAATAGTTTCTTCGTCTTGATCCCAGGAAATTCTTTGAGCGTGACAATTATTGAAGCGATTGGAGTTGGTCTTGGCATAATCCTCTGGTCCATGTCCAATATGCTCTTCGGCTTTGCCACTAGCCGGTACGCTGCTGGTTGCATTACGTTTGCATGGCCCAAAATCAGCATAAAAATGCGTTTAAATAACACCTCAGTAATAACTCCCCTCACTTTAGGTTTGGTTGGTTTGGAATCGCACAGAAGATCCCTAAAAAGCCAATTATGAATTACATTGGGGTTGCAATCGCTCTCGGGAGGTAAGAGACACTTCATGACATTGTAAACCTTATGTTTGTAAGCACAGACTTTAATTAGCACAATATTTCTAATACTTAAATGATATGAATTAAACCTGAGTGCTCTAGTTTTAATTTAAATTTAGTTAGTTATGTTCCGTGTCACATGAA